ACTCAGGTTTTTCTACAGTTTCGTACCGGAGCTCTGAGCAGTCATACTGCTCCCTTACATACAGTGCTACTCCCCCACCTTTTCTGCCCTGCCTGTCCTTCCTGAACAGTTTATAACCATCCATGACAGTACTCCAGTCATGTGAGTTATCCCACCAAGTCTCTGTTATTCCAATCACATCATAGTTCCTTGACATCACCAGGACCTCCAGTTCTCCCTGCTTGTTTCCAAGGCTTTGTGCATTCGTATATAAGCACTTGAGATAACCTGTTGATCGCCCCTCATTCCCAGTATGAGGCAGGAGCCCTCCCCTCACAGACATTCCTGCCTGTGCTTCCTCCCGGTATCCCGCTTTCCCACTTACCTCAGGGCTTTGGTCTCCTTCCCCCGGTGAACCTAGTTTAAAGCCCTCCTCACTAGGTTAGCCAGCCTGCTGGCAAAGATGCTCTTCCCTCTCTTCGTAAGATGGAGCCTGTCTCTGCCCAGCACTCCTCCTTCATGGAACACCATCCCATGGTCAAAGAATCCAAAGCCTTCTCTCCGATACCACCTGCGTAGCCATTCGTTGACTTCGACGATTCGACGGCCCCTACCCAGGCCTTTTCCTTCCACGGGAAGGACGGACGAGAACACCACTTGCGCCTCGAACTCCTTTATCCTTCTTCCCAGGGATATATGTGTATCATTAATGCATATGAAGTTATGAGAATTGTGTACTACGGTTGTCACTAAAACATGCTGTAAGTTGGGGGAATCAGCCAGATATTAGCTCCCCAGAGGCAACAGCAAGGAAAGTAACCAACGCCCAGGTGGGAGGCAAACAACCCATCAACAGCCATTGTCCAGCAAGGGAGCTACAATGCAATGACTCATCTGCATGAGGCCACAGCAGGGGAATTGCTCATCCTTGCTTGGAGAGACTCAGTGATGCTCACCTGACACTGAAGTGGGGGGCAAATCCAAGGGGAAGGAAAGGTCATGATAAAAGGAAGAGACATTTGCCATATTCTTCCACCTACATCTACAGACATCACCACCAAGCAACTGAAGCACTGATTAAAGGAGAGAGCCTGGCTGAAGAGTAACCAGCCAGCCTGTGGTGAGAGCATCTAAGTTTGTAAGGGCACTGAAAGTGTTAAGATCAGCTTAAAATGCATTTTGTTTTTATTTCATTTGACCAAATCTGACTTCTTATGCTTTGACTTATAATCACTTAAAATCTATCTTTATAGTTAATAAATCTGTTTGTTTATTCTACCTGAAGCAGTGTGTTTGGTTTGAAGTGTGTCAGAGGCTCCCCTTTGGAGTACAAGCCTGGTACATATCAAGTTCTTTGTTAAATTGACAAACTCATATAAACTTGCAGCATCCAGTGGGCATAACTGGACACTGCAAGACGGAGGTTCCTTGGGTTGTGTCTGGGACCGGAGATATTGGCTAGTGTCATTCGCTTGCAAGTAGCTGGGAGCAGCTTACATGTCAGACGCTGTGTGTGAACAGCCCAGGAGTGGGGTTTCTCACAGCAGAGCAGAGTAAGGCTGGCTCCCAGAGTCAGGGATTGGAGTGGCCTAGCAGATCACCAGTCCGGATGACACCAGAGGGGAACGTCACACTGACACTCTGAGTACCTTTCCCAGACCTGAATAAGAAGTCTGTGTCGCTTGAAATCTTCTCTCTCTTATTAACCAACTTCTGTTGATTAAAGATATTACTTCACCCACCTTGTCTCTCAAGGAATCATTTGTCTGTTATGAATGATGCTATCACTTTCAAGGAAAATGTTATTGTTGTTTTGTTGTTTGTTTCACAGTAGCAAAACTGGAGCTGGACTCAAAGCCCCCTTCCCTCTCCCTAGGCCTAATTATTTTGCATAGATATATCCTGTAAACAGCAGTTAGATCTAAGAGTTAAGTCAGAAAATATGTTGGATCATATTAAAGAAGTTCTGTATTAAAATCACAAATGACTTTGATTCCCCATTGTTTAAATTCCAGGGTATTATTAATTAAGAGGTCTCTTGGTTTTTGGTACTGTTTCTCTCCCTCTATGTGTGAAACTTGCAAGCTGCTAATTGTGTTAGTAGGTGCTAAGTCAGAGTCTGTTCTCAAAGCAATTCTTTGTAACAACAACTACTCACACAGAGAGAGACTCAAAGCAATACTCTGTAACAATAGAAACAGCATCCAGAGACTCCCTGCCCTTTTGTTGTATTCAACTCGCTTTGTTAACAATTGTGATTAAAATAGAGATTGAGGATGTTTGTGGATGGATGGTTGGTGTGGATAATAACTGAATGATCAGGGAGGTGCCAACCTAAGAATCCAGTGTCCATCGGCTGAAGAAGGCATCAAGTGGAAATAACCAGAGGACCCTCGGAGGGCAGACTGGAATCCACGCAACAGCCTCAAGAATGGGAGAACCAAAGAACAAGATAACATCTGGCAGCACGGAGCCGTCAGGAATGTGCCATCTGCTGATTGATTCAGCAACAGCATGATGAATCAATTCCCACAGACTGGCATAGGAAGAAATTCCAATAAAAATGGACTCTAGAAAGTGAGAACTTTGGGGTCTGATTCTGCAAACCAACTTCCAGGAGCATCAGATGTGCATCTGACAAGGCCCTGCTCCCTCCTCATGTCCAGGCAACCTGGCCAGTGGCCTGGCATGAGCAATTCTAAGGCTGGTAACTATGATAACAACCTTGTAGAACCTGTGTGTGTGTGTGTGAATAAATATGAGATTGAATGGAATGTTATAGCTATAACTAACTGCTTACCATGCTTCTTTCTGTATTCACAATAAATGTGGTATTTTGCCTTTTCCCCTTTAATAAGATCCTGCTGGTTTTTATTTTATTGGTATAACAACACTGACGCCCCAAATCCTGCAAGTGGCTTCATGCAGGCAGACTCCTGTAATGTAATTGTGGCTCTGTGTAGGTACAGAGATCTGCTCACAAGAGGCCAGTTGCGGGATCAAGGGCTTAAGGCTTACCATTGGTACGCTCAGCTGCTTTAAAAACAAAAAACATCCTGCATCACAATTAACTATAAACACTTCTCCAAGATCTAATTGCCTACACATTAAACCAAACAGAATTGTAGGACTCCAAAAGGATTAGCTGGCAATTTCTAATGTTATAACAGCCACTATCTCCACATTCAAACCACTCTAAGACATTTATATGAAGCCTGTCAAAGTTAATTTTGAGTGACAGGTTTGAGATATATCTAAGAGATATCCAGCACTATTTTGAGTTTTGACCAATCACCTGGCCATCCACACATTGTGTGTATAAATGTGTATTTGTCTACTTCAGAGGTCATCAGCTCCTATGAACATAATAGACTCACATATGTGTTTCATATAGGGAAAGGCATACACCATTTATAGGATTATCACCCTTTTGAATTTGCCATTTAAAGAGCAAGCGTCACAAGCCAGGGACCTCTATATTTTATACATAGGCTTGGAAGGATTAGAATTTTAATGTGGGCAAATGTCAATTTCACCAGACCAACAAACTGATAATCAAAATTGAAAGTGAAGCAAAGTGAGAAAAATGTTGCTTGAGAACTTATTAGAGTTTGATGTAAAGGTATTTATTTTGTTGTGAGGTTGCCAATTTGTGTTTTAACAGTTATAAAGCTTTAACTTATTGAATCTCAACAACCACTGTAATTAAATAATTGTCTGATCCCCACCCATAATTTCCTGCTATTGTAAAATTTTAAATTGACTAAAATGGAAAAAATACTTAAAAATAAACACGGCTGTTAGCTGTCAAAATGATAAAATAAACATTGACTTCCGCCAAGCCTATTTACAAGCATCAAATACAAGCAACAACTCAGGCCTGAAGGACCCTTGGAGGCAGAAGCCCAAACAGAAATTCCCCTGTGAAAAAAAAAAAGTAATAGCACATTTTTTTTTAAGTATATCAGACACAGGAAGCCTGCTAAACAACCAGTGGGGCCACTGGACGATTGAGGTGCTAAAGGAGCACTCAAGGATGAGAAGGCCATTGCGGAGAAACTAAATGAATTCTTTGCATTGGTCTTCACAGATGAGAATGTGGCAGATTTCCAAACCTAAGCCATTCTTTTTAGGTGACAGAGCTGAGGAACTGTCCCAGACTGAGGTATCATTAGAGGAGGTTTTGGAACAAACTGATCAATTAAACAGCAATAAGTCACCAGGATCAGATGGTATTCACCCAAGAGTTCTGAAGGAACTCAAATGTGAAATTGCAGAACTACTAACTGTAGTCTGTAACATATCATTTAAATTAGCTTCTGTACCAGATGACTGGAGAATAGCTAATGTGACGCCAATTTTTAAAAAGGGCTACAGAGGTGATCCCGACAATTATAGGCCTGTAAACTTGACTTCAGTATCAGGCAAACTGGTTGAAATTATAATAAAGAACAATATTGTCAGACATATAGCTAAACATAATTTGTTGAGGAAGAGTCAACATGGTTTTAGTAAAGGGAAATCATGCCTCCTCAATCTACTAGAATTCTTTGAGGGGGTCAACAAGCATATGGACAAGGGGGATCCAGTGGATATAGTGTACTTAGATTTTCAGAAAGCCTTTGACAAGTTCCCTCACCAAAGGCTCTTACGTAAAGTAAGCTGCCACCGGATAAGAGGGAAGTATTTTTCACACAATGCACGGTCAACCTGTAGAACTCCTTGCCAGAGGATTTTATGAAGGCCAAGACCATAACAAGGGTTAAATAAAGAACTAGGTAAATTCATGGAGGAAAGATCCATCAATGGCTATTAGCCAGGATGGGCAGGGATGATGTCCCTAGCCTCTGTTTGCCAGAAGATGGGAATGGTCAACAGAAGATGGATCACTTGATGTTGACCTGTTCTGCTATCTGGCTCTGGCACTGGCCACTGTCACAAGACAGGAGACGGAGCTAGAGGGACCCTTGGTCTGACGCAGTAGGGCCGTTCTTATGTTCTTAGGGCAGGAAAAGGGAGGGAAGGGAAGCCTGTGCACCCTGCAAGCTAGCCTGGCCCCACGCTCGCAAGGAGCAGCACCGCACAAACCTCCTCGGCAGAGAAAGGCCGCTGTGCCTTTCCAGGGGCAGAGCCGGAGGCGCGGCAGGGAGGAGGGGCGGGGCAGAGCAGAGAGACCGAGGAGGCGGGAAGGCGGCAGGGGCTGGCCACAGAGAAGGAGCAGGCAGGGCGAGAGGCTGCTGCGGCTGGGCTCGGCATGGTGCTGCTGGTGGTGATGGGAGTGAGCGGCTCGGGGAAGTAGGTGCTTTCGCCTCCCTGGGAACGTGCGCGGACCGCCCCAGGCACCGGAACCCGCCGCGGGGGAAGCTCCTCGCCTGGACGGCTCCTTCCGGGTCTCTCCTTGCGGCCGGGCGGTGGGCGGGCTCGGCTCCCCCGCGTGTCTGTCCCCGGCCACGCGGCTGGCGCGCTGCCCCGCGCTTGTCCTGAGGAAAGCGGGTGGCGGCAGCTGCCCCAGTGCGGAGTCTCAGCCTGCACCCTCCCTGGGCCTTCAGGCTGCAGCTCCCGGGCTCCCAGCATTGCCCTGGCTGAGAGGAAATTAGCTGTGAAGTAACCAGGACAGGAGAGCGGTTCCTTTGCCCCTCAGCACCCCGCGTCTTTTCAAGGGGGAAGGGGATTTCCTCCTGGCTGTAAAGGGGAAAAGTCTTCTGAAACCTGCGCTGTCGCAGGGGCTTTGGGACAACAACGGAAGACTTAACCCAAAGGCTGCTCTGTGGCCCATAGCACTTGCCTGCGCTGTGGTCCATCTCCTGCAAGGGCACTTTTCAGTAGTTGGTGGGTTTTCATTCTTCGGGGGGGGACACAAAACCACACCTGCACTAAGGAGACTTTGGTGTTTTACACCCACACAAGCATGGAGGGTGAGTCAGGCACCTCATTACAGTCAGAAGGTACATTTCCTTGAGCCCAAGGAGCCTACAAACCAGACTAGCTTTGTGTAATTTTCACACTGTTCCTGTGCTAGGCTGTGGTACACCTTGCACACACCATTAGTGGATTTTGTTTACTTTAGTAAAGAGTTGTCACTGACGGAAGGATGGCTTTATTTTTATTTCTGTACTTCGAACAATATTCAGTTTCTTCTGTTTCATCGCTATATAAACAATTTTAAAATGAATTCTAAATGGACACAAGTGAGGAGTTAAGGCTAAAAGTTTCCCTTTTGTTTCCTGATATTTCAGCACACATCAGCAACTGTTCTGGTAGCTACCCATTATGCACTGTGGGGCTTATTAGGGATAACTTCGGTCTTAACAATTTCATTTAATTGCTCTTGTTGGGTTAGAATAGACCTTTGTTTAACACGACTTGTGTCTACTTTGCTTTGTAGATGACACCAGTGACACTGTGGTTAGGGTGACCAGATGTCCCAATTTTATAAGGACAGTCCTGATATTTGTGGCTTTGTCTTATATAGGTGCCAATTACCCCCCACTCCGTCCCGATTTTTCACCCTTCCTATCTGGTCACCCTAACTGTAGTAGAGGGGATCTCAGATCAAGGGGCAAAGGGGGAAATCAGGTTTAGAGGGTTGAGCAGGGCCTGCCTGACCACTGTCCTCACTGCAGGAGTTCCTGAATTAGTATTATCCTAATGCTGAATTAGTATTATCCTATGCAGTGTACCTCAAAGCATAGAGACACCCCTGTGTAGCTGTGGTTTCCCCCACTAAAGGGTTTGGAGGATGACAACAGATATGAAGCATTGGCAGCAAAGCTTCTGATTTAGTGATTGGGAAGCTTTTCCCTGGACTTGTAACTAAGTAAAAAGGACCAAATAATGTGGAACTCACGGCTGTGCCTGCTCCCAACCACCTTCTTTTATTTTTTCAAATGGCCCTGAGAAGAATTTTCAAGGGTGGACTTCCTCACACAAGATTTTACACTACTCTGACCCTTGTTAGCTTGAAAAGAGCTTGGAGAAGACTTCTTTCAGAACTGAGCAGGATTTGTCTTGACTGGGATGAAAGGTGTGTTAGAACATGTTAGCTCAGGAGTTCTCAAACTATGGGTTGGGACCCCTCAGGGGGTCGTGAGATTATTACACGGGGGGTTGCGAGCTGTCAGCCTCCACCCCAAACCCTTCTTTGCCTCCAGCATTGATAATGGTGTTAAACTATTAAAAAAGGGTTTTTAATTTACAAGGGGGGTCACATTCAGAGGCTTGCTATGTGAAAGGGGTCACCAGTACAAAAGTTTGAGAACCACTGTTTTAGCTAGCATCTTAGGAACTTCTGAAGAATTGGAAGAGAGACAAGAGTGTAACTTGCATGATAAATTCTCATTAGTTCTATGTAGAGGTTAAAAAGAGCAGAAAGGAATCAAAAGGAGAAAACTAAGGTATATGATTAAAAGTGGTACAAAGAACATGAATATCACAAACCAGTATATGACAGATTTACGAACATCAAACAAAGCAGAAAAAGGGCAAGTAAGAAACAGGAGAAAAAACATTTTTAGCTGAGAATAATTAATGCTTGGAATGGACTAGTAAAGGTAGCAACGGAAACAGCTATCATTAACACACCCCAAAAAAAGTTACTTTAAAAAAAATCAGTGCTATATTAGTGGTCTCCAAACTTTTTACCTCGAAACCCCCTTAACTCTGTCTGCACCCCTGCCCAAGCTGGGGCTGGGAGCAGGGCTGTGGCTCCGGGGGGGAGGCACACAGACAGGGTTAAGGGGGCCGAGGCTGGGGCCACAGCTGGGGATGGGCGTGGCAGCCAGGGCATGGGGAGCGGAGCCTCAGGACAGGGTTCTGGGCCCATCAGCCGGGGCACGGGGCCAGCAGCTGGGGCCCTAGACTGGCAGCCGGGGTCCCAGACTGGCAGCTGGGGCTGGGGCCAGGGATGTGCTGGCCGCTGCTTCCCACCACTGCTTCCCACAGCTCCCATTTGTCGGGAATGGCAAACCGCAGCCACTGGGAGCTGCGGGCGGCCGTGCCGGTGGACGGTCAATGTCTCGCAGCCCGTCAGTGGACTACCCTGATGGACCATGGGTTGCCCACCACTGGATTAGACCATCTGGTATTCCCAGGCCTCTGTCCAACATCTCTTAGAATTATAAAAAGATAGAGATTAAAGAGACTGGGTTATCTCACTCTGGAAGTTATCATGAAAATTTATCAGCCCAGGGACCCTTCCATCTTTTACCATGAAGTAAGAAAATGACTAATATTTCATCCACACATCAAAATTACTTTCCCAAGCCAAGGGCAAGTAATGAGTTTATCTGGTCCACCCTCCTTTGAAGTGCACAATTATTTCCTCTAGTGCTTTATCCAGTTTAGTTAGTTCCACACAAATAAAGTTATCAATGAGGTTTCCACCACATCCTTTAGGAGGTTATTCCATAGTCTGATTTCTTCCTCCAGGATGAAAGTGTTTCCAATTCCCAGGATAAATTTCTTCATGCTCAGTTTCATCTTAGTACTCCTAATTATATACTCTTGAATTATTTCCCTTATATTTAATGTGGATGCATATGTTTCACAATATGGTTGGCACTGAATTCATCAATAATCCAACTCTGCATAGATACAATCACCCAATCATTTAGAATGAGGCTGTCAGCGCATGACCACAGTCAAAAAATAATCATGTCTTTACATGCTGCAGCTTCTGTTGATCTAAAAGTTAAAAGCGTCTTGTGATGGGTAAAACACTGCTGGAAGTCACTGCCAAGCTGATGTAACCAAAGACGACAACTGGCTGCTTTTCAAATAAAACAAGCGTGGCTGCAACTTTCAAAGTTTTACCAGGAACCCTGCTTTTTCTAAAATCTTAATTTAGAATAACTTTTAAAAACTTCCAATAGTGAGTCAAATTCTTTTTAATAACTTGAATGATAATAGCTGTGTTGTGTTAAACTTAATGTGTCAGATATTATTCTTCTTTCCAATAGTACCCAAAATGTGCTAGGTGCTAGGTTTGCAAACAAAAAGGCTAAACTCCTGCCCTAAAGAGTATGTCACGTTATTATATTCTGAATATAAAGAAAATTCATTATTAGCCTAGGCTACCACATGACCAGCTAAAATTGAGCTAAAAGATGTTACCTTGGATCTACTCTAGGAAAAGGGTCAAGTTTAGATCAGGCCTAGCTAGCATGTGTTAGCTAAGCCCTACCTAAATTTGACTATTTTTCCTAGTCAAGACAAAGACTTAGGTACCAGACAGCATACGTAAATGTTCTATTATGTGCTAGGCAGGGGGCATGACTGATGCCTTCAATAGCACTTTTCAGCTCCCATGGGACACTGGGAGGCCTGTGCATCCACTGCAGATGACTGAAATCAAGCAATGGATATAGTGTATACTGCTTGTTTCTGGACGATCTGTCATTTGTTCTGTTTGTTCAGCACCTAGCACAATAGGGTCTGGTCCATGACTGGAGCTCCTACGTGCTACGGTAATACAGGTAATAAATAAAATAATCATACCACCTACAATTCTTTAAAAAAAATTCATTTAATAATATTGGGTGTGGGGTGAGTTAAGAGGTGATAGTTGTACTTGTGTGTTAAAGTGAAGCACTCATCAGTTTGGTCTCATGCCACAGAATACTTAACTGAATGCTATTATGTACTATATCTTTGCTAAAATTCAGGTATAACTAAGGCCAGTCTAATTTATTCACTAAAGATTACTTACAGGTGATGTTGCTGGTAGATGCCATGTTTGCATATCCTCAGCCTTTTAAATATTACCAGACCAGAACATTATCAAGTAATCCTAACTGAATTTCTGGTTTGCTCACTTACTGTTCAATAATTCCCACTCTCTCCTCCCCTTTCCTTTCCCTCCCTGACACAGTGACCAAAGTTTTATTGGGATTTTTTTAGTTCAAAGGTTTTTTTTTTACAGGTACAGCTAACCATACATATTGGGGAAGAGGAGGAAAAAAGTATGTAGGCAGCTTTTGCCTCTTCAATTTACAGTCCTGATAGGATCTCTGGGTTGATTTTATATGTTTAAGGATTTATCCTCATAGGAGATTATACTTATTCTTTCTATATGTTGATGTGGTAATTGAGTGTTTGTGAACATCCAGCCTGTGCTGATGTTATTATCTCTGACCACTTATGATTTGGAAACATCAGGATTATTGGGGCAGAAGGGGACTTATACTTTACTCTGAAGCATATGATTCTGGCTAAAGCTAGAGACCGGATGAGGAACTAGATGGACGACTTGTTTGAGGTACTATGGCAATTACTACATTCCTATGACCAGTTCCATCCCAAGGAGGAAAGACAACACCTCACTTCATTTTAAGGGGAAGTTAAAATTATGAAGTAATGTTTATATAGTGCTCTTCCTGTGTTCTCTTACAGATCCACTGTTGGGTCACATCTGGCAGCTAAGGTATGGTATTTTCCAACTATACTGGTTTTATTGTAATTTTACATAGGATTTTTTCCACTTCTAGCAAGTCATTGTTAGTTAAATTATAAATCTTATGTCATATGTAAATATTACCAATTTGTGAATAGTTGAATCTGTCCTGACTGAGTCAGGCATGGATAAATATCATTATATAGTGCAGTGTGAATTTGACTTATAAACAAACATGGTATATTGACTTGCTATTTTCTTCCTCTTGATTATACCTTGTATTTCTGGGAAGTGTCATTATGTAGCTGGTGAGATTCATATTGTGGTGCAGAAGTCCTACATGTATCCCACAACTGTACTTGCCAAAGTGATCTTGATAAACAAGTGAGTTACTGTGAGCTAGTTTGTTTATGCTAAATTATACATAGTTATAATTTTTTCTTAGCTGGGATGGAAATTCTATGATGCTGATGACTATCATCCTACAGAGAACACAAAGAAAATGGCACAAGGAATACCACTAAATGACCAGGTAGTTATACTGTATATAATCCTAAAGGCAGAGAAGTCAACGTATGTTTACCTTTCTAACCATTGACATATCATTTTATAGTGAGTTATGCTTTATATAGATTAGCATTACTGCTTCCCTTGACTCTGAACCCAGGCTGAGTTTGCAGGGCTGGTGATAAGGTAGGGGAATTATTTTTTTACTTGTAAACTATTAGTTATATAAAACTATTTTAGAATCCCCAAAATATTCCTAGTGCCTCACAAAACCAGAAGACACACTATAATTTTCCCTCTGTTGATACTCTCACCTTCTTGTCAACTGTTGGGAATGGGCCACATCCACCCTAATTGAATTGGCCTCATTAGCACTGACCCCCCCGCACACACACACACACTTGGTAAGGCAATTCCCATCTTTTCATGTGCTGTATATTTATACCTGCCTACTTCTTTTCACTTCATGCATCTGATGATGTGGGTCATAGCCCACGAAAGCTTATGCCCAAATAAATTTGTTAGTCTCTAAGGTGCCACAAGGACTTCTTGTTGTTTTTGCTGATACAGACTAACATGGCTATCCCTCTGAAACCTGTAAGATGGTGGTCTGTCCCCAGTCCCCAAAAGACCTCTGTCACAGCCAGATTCTCTTTCTAGGCACAGTTTTATTTCCCAAACATAGGTTAAAAAAAACCACAACAAAAACAGTTCTTCAGCCCTTCCTAGGCTGTAACTCCCAGGGGTTTTTCCCCCTTTGCCTCTGTCAGTCCCTGCTGCTTCAGGGCCTACTGCAGAATTCTTTCTTGCCCTTTATGCAGGGCACCTCCACCCATGGCTTTCTCCCTGGAGGCCCTCTTCCCACAAGTTTCTACTGCCTCACCTTGGAGATGGGGTGGGGTAACAAATTCCTCCCTCCTCCTGCTGCTTATCCCTTTCATTACTGAAAGCCTGACTCTTTATAGTCCCAGATGCTGTCCCACCCTCCTAACTGGCCAAACTGGAAGCACTTGTTCTGGCACTGGGACCTGGGACCTGCTACATTTAAAGGGGCCAGACACCTATGGCAGAGACACTCTGTGATCATAAGAGTGTACATAACTGGTATTTGACATGATAAATGAGGGTCTTAAACAGACAAAAAAAGGAGCAAGGGAAGAGGAAGAACAAGGGCGACAATAGGATCAATTACTCAGTAAGGGACACACATGCCTTGATGTCTGTTACTGGTTCAGAATGGGATTATGAAATGGACTCAGCATTGGCCAAATTTTTCTCCCATCAAGGCATTTAGTTCAGTCCCACCCTTACATTATCTTTCCCCTCTCAGATGAGATGGCAAGAGCAGCTTGCAGGAGGGATTTGAACGGGGCAGAAGACATGGCTTGGATAATAATTTGGGGGAAGGCAGGATGAAAGGAGGCCTGGAAACATGTGAGAAGAGACAAGAAGGTTATCAAGGCTGGCATCATTCATCATTAGCAAAGCAAAGGGTTGGTGGTTGCTCCGCAGGGGCAACTACTCAAAGGGGATTTAAGATGGATATAGCCACAGTTTGTTGAACTCCTTAGATTCCATAGCAAAGCTGCGTCCATCAACACAGCCACATCTTTTGCACCTGGTGTGTAAGGTGTACCAGGTGGAAGGTTGGCAGTGATTAATGCAGAATTAAGATTACATAGCTGATTTTGCTGTGTAATGACATTTGTATTTTCTAGGAAAGTTAGTGTTCCTAAATGTTTTCCCCCATCTCTGCCCTACGTGATAAACATTTACAACCTTAGCTCCAGTTTAAAAAGCTTGGTGGTGGTAGTTTATTTGGTTTTTGGGGGTTTTTCCCCTGTGGAATTTTATCGCATTTGTCCCAGAGAAAGATAAACTCTCATCCATGCAAACAAGACACACACCCAAATGGGAGGCATCTGAGGGAAAAACAGGATCAGCAGAAATTCACTCTACCTGCCTACACACGCATACAAACAGTTACCTACTCCTAAGCATACACAGACTCTTAAGCCCCATTCTGCAAGTTGAGCCACTTGAATGGACCCCAGCACCTGTGAAGAGCTTTACAGAGTTCATTGGAAGTCTGCCCATATGAATCAGCTTGTAGGATTAGGGCCTTAGGCCTGGATCCACAAAAGTAGTTAGGTGCCTAAACCCCAGATTTAGGTGACTAAGTCCCAGTTTTGGTTCCACTTCAATCCACAAAACTCCTGCCAAACCTTGCAGGTGCCTAAGCTGACTTGGTGCCTACATTTTTAAGGTAAAAAATGCCAAGTTTCTGCCTCTGAGCATGTGCACTCTCGGCTTGACTGTAGGCATCCAGACACCTATCTCCTGCCTAAGTCCCAAAGATTCACAGATAGGGGGGAGATAGCTGTTTGTCCACCTAAGTTGCTTGTGGGGTCTCCCTTTTTGTGTGGAGTGAGGCAGGCCCCAAATGTATTCCGTCAAAAAATGCCTTAGGTGCCTAAGCCACATTGCTTCAGGCAGCAGGTTCCCATTCACAGATCGTTTAGCAGAGCTAAGTGTCTCCCTGCAGCCTTGTCTTAGGCATCAGTCTCAGAAGGTGTAGGGCTTAGCATAAACCCCTCTGATTGGCATCTCCCCTGGACTAGTTTATGTTGTTCCTCACCTAGTATGCTGAAAAGCAGTGCTACTCAAAGTGGTGGTCCACGGACTGAGCCATCGGCTGCCGGTCTGCGCACACATTAGAAAAAAAAATTGCCAGTCGCCCACATCAGATAGTTTGAGAAGCACCGCTGTAAAGCACTTATCTCTCCCCTTCCATTGTATAGGGAGTCTAGATGCCTAATTCAGGCTTTGTGGATTGCAATATTGTTGGACCGACTTCTGTTGGTGACAGAGAGACAAGCTTTCAAGCTGCTTCTTCTGTGGGAAAAAGAGCTCCATGTGGCTCAAAAGCTTGTCTCTCTCAACAACAGAAGTTGGTCCAATAAAAAATATTACCTCACCCACATTGTCTCTCTTGTGAGTTAGAAGTCCATTACCCACCACCTGCTAAAACAATTGCTCTATAAACTCTTGTTCTATACATTCCTCCTTAAAACTATGGTTCCTTGCTCTGACCTATCTGTACACCACAAATAGATCATCAAGCTTAATTTGATAACAATGCTTAACTAGCTTAATTTGACTGAGGTTTCAACATATGAGAATATTGGCACCCAATACTTACCATACTTTGAACACACCAATCCCTTACCATATTTTAAAACTCAAATCTGCTAAGTACAGTAATACACAGAAATCCTTAGTGTATTACTGTGATCATATAATGAAGTTGCTAACAGTTTCATCACAAGTATTACATCATAATAATTCACTTTGTATTTTTGAAGTGTACCAATATCTGAATGTTTTTCTTTTCAAATTTACTTTGTATTACTTAGGGGTCTAGGGATAAGCAGATAACAATATTAGTCTTTTCATGATGATAGAATCTTGGAAATAAGCTACTTTGACACTTGAACAATTGAACTAATTCTTAACAGTCCATTATTGTCACTACAAACTCTCTCCTTTTGAGAAACAGCCTGAACAAGTGAACTGAACTGCTTTCTGGAATGTACATTTATATACACATCACATACTCTTATAATAATGGCTTTACCTCACTCCACACAAGAGGTGTTTTTAATCAGTGTTCTGGTGTGTCTTATTGCACTGTGGAACAAAGACAAGCCAAAACACAAAACATTTCAGCTGCAGGAAAAATCAGATTGAAACAGAAAAAGATCTCTGATATGATTAGGGCCCTACCATTTTGGTCAATTTCACGGTCATAGGATTTTAAAAATTGTAAATTTCATGATTTCAGCTATTTAAATCTGAAATTTCATGGTGTTGTAACTGTGGGGGTCCTGACTCAAAAGGGGGTATTGGTGGTGGTGGGGGTTTGCAAGATTATTGTAGGGGTGTCACAGTATTGTCACCCTTCCTTCTGCCTTCAGAGCTGGGCCCTTGGCCAGCAGCTGCTGCTCTCCAGCTGCCCAGCTCTGAAGGCAGTACAGAAGGAAGGGTGGCAAAACCGCCGACACCCGTCTCCCCCTTACAGCCCCTTTTTGGGTTGGGACCCCCAGTTTGAGAAACTCTGGACTCCCACGTTAAATCTGTATAGTATAGGGTAAAAGTATACAAAAGACCAGATTTCACAGTCCGTGATGCGTTTTTCATGGCCGCAAATTTGGTAGGGCCTTAGGTATGATAGTTAGTGCCTATGAAACAGAAAAGATGGGAGTTTAGGAAATTACAACTTAGCTCTTTAAGAAGGAGATTCATAACCTCTTCTGACACTGCTGCAGGCAGACTTCTTCATGTTTATTTGCATAGAACAGCCAGAAATTGTTACGATTATTTTTGCACAAGGCAGAATTGTGATACTCTTGAAAGGAAGCATGGGGGCTGAAAAATGTTTCTAGACCCTTTTTTAAAAACTCGAGTTCATGCTATAAAATTCACAGGGGTTTCTATCTAGAGTTTTTCAGATGAAAGGCCTATACAGGGGCCTATAAATTCACTAGACAGATCAAACTACAACATACTGCACTGACATCTAATGCCATTCAGGTGGCGTGTAGCTTTCCTGCACTATACCAGTGATGTGAAATTGTAGAGAAGCCTGCTTGAAGGCACACAGTAAGGAAAGTGTTTTGCAATGGATGAACTAGCTCCTTCATTGTTCCCATGCTCCCATTTATTAAACTTACTTGTCCAACATGAGTTGGATGGACATCCATTTAATACTGAGCAGTTATGGTAGAAGCAGCAGGAATCTTAAAGTTTAAATTGGATTATATTAAGAAAGCTGATCAGTCATTTTTATTATATTTGCCAAGCTCATTTGAGCCAAGTGTAGTCAGAGGACATTCCTTCAGTGAGCAAAGCTGTTGCATAAATGTGGTTATGAGTGAGTTTGTTTGTGATTGCCATAGATGTAAATATGATGTAATTAACTTATCTGTGATAACTGAATTTAGGTCTGTTTTTGACTCTATGGGATAGTTCCTGAGAGCCTTATGAGTACATGTATCTGATCCAAAGCATTACACACATGTACTAAGCTGTTAGGAGAAATGGGGGGGGGGGATCACAGTTCCAGCTATTTTAGAAATGAAAACAGCTATGTGAGAATAGATTTGCTGTTTAAATTGTCAAATAAAACAAGAGCTAATTTGGTTCTTCAAAAGGTTCACAATATGCCATATCAAACCTAAAACATACATTACTACTACCTACAACTTCCATTGATTCTCCTTTTCCATTCTGTATATAAAAATTCAAAGCACTTAAAGTTTTCAGTGTAGATAAAAAATCTCCCCTCTCCATCCTCCATGAAGTGGTAGCAGTTCTGGATTAGAAAATAAAAGGGGAGAAGTTGAAAATCTGTTTGCTTGGTGCAATGTTACATTATTTATAAACTACATACTGAAGGAAATAGGGGTCTTCTAGAAGAAAGCTTATGTTATCATATCATAAGAGATGGGATCATAATGCATAGACACAAGGGTAAGAATTAAGATTGCACAAGCAACCTATCTGGTGTTTCTTAACTTTCAGTTGCTGGACTTTGCAACCTAAACAAATAGGGTGTTTTGTTTATATGTAAAATATAGTATATATACATACTGACAGGCATAAAATCATGGATCTATAGCAGAATAGTATAGACTGAATTTTTTAATCTATTCAGTTTTCAGTTAATGGAAACAAATGTTAATAATTCATATTCGTTTGCTGTGTTGGTGTTTTATTCTGTTCTGCTCCAGTACTTTATTTTTGCAAGCAATGGGTTTACACAATTTAGATATGCTTTTGTTTTTGTAAATTTAAATGAAAAGTTTTATAGGTTAGCCTTGAATGTAGAAACAGATACTGGATCAGTTTGCTAATGTGACTGCAGGGGAAAAAAACATTGGTCTATTTGCCTCCCCACACCAAAGAAGGATTGAAAAAGATTCACCCAGTTTTGTATTGCAAGTTAACTGCTATGTAGATTTCAGAGTAACAGCCGTGTTAGTCTGTATTCGCAAAAAGAACAGGAGTACTTGTGGCACCTTAGAGACTAACCAATTTATCTGAGCATAAGCTTTCGTGAGCTACAGCTCACTTCATCAGATGCATACTGTGGAAAGTGTAGAAGATCTTTGTGTGTATATAATAAGATCTTCTACACTTCTACACTTTCCACAGTATGCAGCCGATGAAGTGAGCTGTAGCTCACGAAAGCTTATGCTCAAATAAATCGGTTAGTCTCTAAGGTGCCACAAATACTCCTTTTCTTTTTGCTATGTAGATGTTAGACAATTTAAATACATACTTTCAGCTAACTTGTTTTGTTTCTAGGACAGGATTCCATGGCTTTGCAAATTACATGACATATTAATGAGGTAAGAGAACCTCTGACTTGCAGAGTGATTGCATCTGTAATGATTATTGGCTAAAGACTAAAGCAAGAGGTTTTTTTCAGTTGCATTAGTGGGGATAAGTATGTAGTATTGTAAAAATATTCTGCAGTCAGTAAAACCATTCTGTATTCATTAGTCTCTGAAATACTTTAATACTTAACAATAACAGTAAGGAAACACCTAAATACTACTACTTGATGGAACTGTTTGGGGATGAGAGTTCTTTCTTCGTTGTCTATACAAAGATTTTTACATTTCAAGGATCCAGTTCCGTAATAAGTTTGACACCAGTTGGCTCTAGAGGGCACACTGTATAAACTTAAGGCATTTTAGAAATTTTGCCCAAGTGACTGAAGCATAAGTTCCATTGACTTTCAATGAGATTTAGGCTCTTAAGTACCTAAGTCACTTCTGAACATATGATTAGGCTCCTAAGTTACTTACGTGTTTTAGAAAATTTTATCCTTAGTCTCTTTTATCCTTAGTCACCCCAGATGACTCACTTGCCATTGAACTTTGCAGGATGTACCCTTCCTAAATAGTGATCCTAGCTCAAATATTTAGATGTTAAAAAAAAATGGGACAAATAATGCACAAGTGATTTCATGAGGCTTGGGGGAGAGAAGAGTCAAACCTGGAACTTTAAATTTCTACATTTTAAATTTGCATGCATTTATTCACAATGGCAATCACCCTCCTCTTCCCCCACAGACAATTACATACATAACAGTAACAAGTCGATGATCCTCATCAGTAAAGATGGGTCTGAACCAAAATCTGGATTTAGGTTTTACAGCAATTACCCTTCTCTGCTTCTCAGTTGCATACTCAATATATTCTCCATCCTGATGATTCATTTAAGTATCTCAATGAGATAGAGACAGGAAAAAGGAGCTTTCACATTCCACACGCGTGCTGCTTCTCAGGGGGCAGGAGGCTGCTGAGCTCCCTGGATTAAGTGAGGGATATAGTTTCTTTTAAGAAGGGTCAGGGAAGACATGGAATTCAGAAATAATGGGATAACCTTGAAAGGGCTAGCCCTGCCTTAACCAAGAGTCAATGACTCTTACTGCACCCTGCAAGTAACAGGGTCCAAACTGGCTTTTTGCCTTTGGAATTTAAATCACAGAATTGCCTGTGTATAATAGAGGGCAGTAACATTCGTTTACTACTACGTATAATGTGTTCACAAATTTGACTGCAGAATATGAGTTTATTTTTTTCTTTTGCACATCTCAGTCATAAAACCTGTATGTTCATTTATGGTATCTAATGCCAAAACTAACTAGAAGGCAGGATTTGAGATTTCCAGTGTAACAAGCGCCAATGTTGTCTGATTACCTGAAGCTTTAAAGGACCCTTGCCAGAGTAAAATGAAAGAATTATGCAAGTTTATTTATGTTAATTTCACTAAATCCAACCCTCCAGAGTAACTATTAAAAGACCCAGGATATATATAGAGTTCCCATTATTGTTAACAGTAGTAGAATGGCTAATCCAAACAATTTAGTTCAAAATCTTCAAAAACTGAAAATGGAACTAGTTAAGAAAAGTACGTATTGTTCAGGATAGAACTGTACTCTAGACAGACCCTTATAGTCAGCTGGTAGGTGGGACAGGAGAGTGCCTCATGCTGTCCAACAATCATACTTCTCAGCAATTAAGGAGCAGGGCTGATGGCTCTCTCTTTGGAATCTAATTACGCTTCCACATTTGGGAAGATGGTGGCCATTATGAAGGCTCCAGATGATGGAGATGTTAAAGGGACACTGGGTGAAATCACATTTTTAAAAAGCAAGCGTCCTTACCTGTGTTAGAGATTTGACTTCAGAGTCTTGTTAAAATGAGGACAAAATCTTTACCACCTCTTCTTTGTGAGGCCGTGTTTGGTTGCCCACCTTACCATCTATTGAGAACAATCAGTCAGTGTTTAATACACCAAATATGGGCATGATATTATTAAGTTACTGCTATTGAAATTTTCTTCTCTTGATAGAGAAGAATCAGCTGGACAAAGTGTGATTCTGGCCTGTTCGGCTCTGAAGAAAATGTATAGACACATATTAGTAAGTGGACGGGATGTTGTGTATTCTAAGGGTGATCAGCTAGAGGAACAAGGAGATTCTGCCACAGGGAAGGTCCTTTTTATCCATTTGGATGGATCTATGGAACTCATCGCCAGACGCCTGGAGAAGAGGAGAGGACACTTTATGGCACCCGAACTACTACAGTCTCAGTTTGATACACTAGAGCCTCCGTCAGCACCAGAAAACTTTATCACTGTGAGTCTGGAAAAGTCTGTTTCTGAAATAGTGTCTGAAATTGAGAAATCTCTTCACTTAAAGAAATGCTTTTCCAGAGCAGTCTCTGAATTAGATGCACGTTAATACTTTTAACCATGTCATATTTGTGGAACAGCATTTTGCTTGCTTTCTCAAGTTAACCAGCATGGTTTGCAGTATTAGCTTCATTGGCTTGACATACTTTAAAGGGACTGGAACACTACTATTACTGATGTTTTCATTAAGACCTGTTCAAATCTGGAGATACAGTTTTCAGAAGTGAATGGTCTTTGCCTAACTCTTTGTTCATTTAAATCACAGGTGAAACTCCCATTGGCTTTGATAGAAACAGGAGCAGCTCAGCACCAAGTGCTTCTGACAAACCCACCCTAGGGATTTAGACAGAACATGAAAATCTCAATAAATTTAGCTTTCACTTTTTTCCTGCCAAAACACAGAAATTGGCCACAGTCATCACTACTGATATTTAAGTGTTGAATAGACACTTGAAAGGTGAACATCCTTTTAAGAGGAGGCAGAGTTCTCTAATAGTGCAGAGGGGCAGGAGCTGGGACAGCAGAGTTCAGGTCCTGACTCCACCATTAGCTCCATGCCTGATCTGGAACAAGTCACAACCTCTCTGTCTGTGTCCTCATCTGTGAAAATAATTGCCGACCTCACAGGGGTATTGTGCGACTTCATTGATTCTGACTTAAACACCATGAACTACTGTGGGAAAGAGAGGGCTATGTAACTGCAAAGTATTATTCTACCTAAATCTTTAACAATAAACTAAGTAGCACTGTATTGACTGTGATTTAGTCTTTCATATGCCAAATATACACACAATGAAGCAGGAGAGAGAATGAGAATGACTCAGCCAGTGAGGTAAGATTTATATACCACTGGGTTCATCAGTTCAGAACTGATGGATGTTCCCTCCCTTCAGCTTGACTGGCAGGCAGCTGTTCAACATGACTTTTTCTGGCACCCTCCACCTGCTACCGTAATAGCCTCACTCTAGCCTCTAATGCTCAAGCTGTATCACAAAGCCTGACTTTCGCTGTAATAAAAATTCAGAGCTGGTGTGAGGAAGAGCCATGGCGAAACTCCCCTAATAAGGGAGAATCCCACTTCAAGTAGGTGGCTTGCACATTGCTCCCCACAGACAGTCTTTGGATTTCATAGATACACACAAGCAATTAATCATATTATTTTCAGTGTCCCTCTGCAACTGAGCCAGTGAATTAAGGTTCTTTGTTAGTCATTTAAAAATGTACACACCAGAGGCCGCGCTCCCTATTAGAGTACTTAGATTCAGATGTAACTGTTCTTAAAAACTTGTTTACTTTCTCTTCAATTTGTAATGCTTTGTAGGTATTAAAGTCCTTATTAAAGTTAAGACTATACAACTACGGCCTTGAGTAGTCTTAGTGGAGACAATGGACTCCTCCTGTGTAAAGATATACTCATACATACGTGTCTGCAGGATAAGGGCCTAGGACAGCTACATACAATCATTACTCTCAATCCAGTATATTCATGGCCAGTCTATTATAAACAAAACTATTAAACAACAACAAAAACCCTCATTAGAACAATAAGATAAAAAAATTTAAGTATACTTGGAAAGTTTTGCATAAGAAGTCACTTACATAATGCACAGAATTTAAAGAATATGCAAGTGTGTTTAATTTATATATATGTTTAAAATACCCTTTAACCATAGCTCAGTGAATACTGGTCTGGACTTCCCATACTACCTGAAACCAGCCCTCCACGTTGGTATCTACCTCTTTGTTTTAACCTTGTAAGTCATCACAGGATACATTTTCTATGAGAGATGCTCTTCAAGAGAAGTAATATTGTGAAGAACCTTTCTGATATATTGCTGTGTATATATTACCCCCATTAGTACTCTCATCCCAACTTAGGACCTTGATTAACGCGACTAGCTCACTCCTTTTCAGGCAAGGATGGTGGTGTTCAAAGACATCTTTGGGGAAATTAATCCAATCATTAGCTGGGTTACCAGTTAAAAATGTGTTTATAGCTTTTTCTAATAGAAGTTAGATTTGCTCTTGTGGTACACCAAAGAAATACCAACATTGCCTCCTTGGAACAATGCTATGAATGAGCTTTGGGGACAGCAGTGAGAGAGAACTCCTCTTTACCAGACAAATCAAAAACTGATAACTATCTGGTGGTGATACAGTGACACAGCCAAAAATCAGACTGCAACAGACTGATCCATTTCTTTCTGTACTACTGTCTTGTATAAAATGCCCTTAAACCTATTTAATCCAACATCTGTATTCAAACTGTTTGCTTCAGTGTGAAAGAGTCCTGGACTAATAGCCAATTCATTTCAGATTACTTTTTGCACATCCTTCTTGTTCGTTATAAGAGAAACAAATTAGAAGTGGGCCCCAATTATAAGATTATGGTTCAGTGCATCACATTGAAATGGCCAAATGCAACATTCCCAACACATATTCAGGTATTGTTGAGACCTAGAGTCTGGTTCATGCCAGCATTAAATTCAGGTAAATGGCACCCTCTTGTGGTGATTCCACTAGGTCAGATCTACATTTAATAAAGTCACAGTTCTCCCAATACATGTACCCAGTGCAGTTCTACAGGCAAAAGGCTTACTCTACCTACTACTGCACAGTGTTGAAGTTGTGCTTGGGTTTTATCAAGTGTGGGCCAAAAAAACCAAAACAAAAAAACCACCCCAATCACACAATTCAGGACATGTATCTGACATACTACTTGGAAACCAGTTACATCACATCACATAGTATATGATCAAAAGTGAAAATTAACCCTCAGCCCTTCCCACCCAAAAACTATATTGGCTAAGATTTTTAAATGAATACCTAAAGTTAGATTCCTAAGCATCTACATAGGCACCTAGATATAAGTGGCCTGATTTCCAGAAGTGCTGAGCACCCACAGATTCCACTGAAGTCTTGGATTCTCAGAACCTTTGAAAATCAGTCCTCTTTTGTTTAACCCTATATTTAGGCACCCGCATTTGAAAGTCTGAACAGCTGTCATTATTCCAACAAAATGTTCTTTTTAATTACAGTCCAGCTCAACCCCTGAGGTCTGAGGCCTTTTTTCTGCAGCTATATTAGGAGAGCAGCAGCCATTAGCCAAGAAGCAGAAAGTCACATCCTCGTATTCCATCTAAATTACATCAAAACAATGTAATATTGGGCTGTTATGAAGGGGTGCCTCCTAATAGTATCCACCATCACAAAATAAGCTGGGAATCTCTTAAAATGGTTAAAGAAAACTTTGTTTGATGGCATGCTGTCTGGCAACTGATCAACAGTTAGGGTGTGAAATCTCTGCTTCTTTATTGTTTTGCCTTTATGGTCCCTACCTCTCTGTTGTTTATCTGAATGGTCTCTGTCCGGTTCTTTGATTGTTTCTGTCTGTTGCATAACTAATTTTGTAAGATTTAAATCAACCAGGGTGGTGGGGTATGTTTGGGTAAAGAATTGTTTTACAATATATTAGAAAATCGTTTAGTAAGCTAAACAGGACTCAAGTTTCAGTATATAAACTCGGAGCCAAAAGGAAGTTACTTGGAACCAACTCCAGGACACAGCCCCAAGATCAGAGCTGCCAGACCTCAACACCCTGCCAATCACACCATGCAGAAGCTGGAGTCCCCAGATGACCTGATCCTGACTGGCCATCAGGAAAAGTTCATCTGCCTTATTAAGAGTGGTGAGCATTATATGCTTAGCGTGTGCATTCTGTTTTGGTGACTGTTAATAAATAGAGGTTAAGGATATTACCGCGTCAGGCTCTTTCACTAATAAAAGACCCAGCAAACCTGCAGAAGATTAGGCCCTGAGCCCTAGGAACTGGGTACGGGTAGGTGCCTTTCCCCCAGAGCCCTAGGAACTGGAAAAGGGTGGGGATGCCTCAATCAACCAGGTTACGCCTTGAGCCCTAGGAACTAGGTAAAGGTGAGTGCCCTAGACTGCATGGGTAACACACACACCCCCGTCTAAAATTAGCCTTCTTTGATTGTTTATAGTTTAGTTCCTAACAGGTTTCTAACTTGCCTGAGGGGAGTAAGGCTAACCCCTCCCACACTGATTTATCTGTCACATTACTTCAGATTAAAGCAAACAAGACTTCTGTTTCCAGTTCAAACAGCTATCAAGAGGAAAAACGTCAAACCCAGCTATGTAAGTAATTTTGCAATAACCATTGTAACTGACAAGTGCAGATTCTGCTACTGTAGCTCTCTCTGTACTTTGGTCTGTTTTGTCCTATTTGTTCCAAGCTGAAGGTCATGTATATTCCCAGCTACATACTTAAAGAACAACAAAATACCTCAGTGGCTTAATTATACCAACCTCCACAATGGCCAGCAATTCCCAGTACATCTAGTTTGTACCCCAGACCTCAAACAATTTACATTACCTTGTAGGGTTGCTGTGTCCACCAGCCTCGCTCTTCAGAGAAGTGAGGTTCACAGTAAAGGACCAGTCTTGGTCAGATCTTTAAAAACATGCTTAGGTCGTTTGGAGCATCAGCAGCAGGAATGGGAGCCAGCAGCATCTGTCTGTCATAACAAGAGGAGCAGGGAGGAGTCTGTCCCATTGCCACAGACAAGGTGAGCAACAGGTCTGGAGAGCAGACAGCAGGCTACCCTCCCACCAGTATAGCAATGAGCAGCAACAAGCAGGAATTGTGAGACACGCAGCAAGCTGTCACACTCTAAAGGAAGAATGGGAGGGACCTCAGTGCCAAGGCATCTTTCTTTGAGTGCTTTCCCCCTAAATTCCTCCTACCCACCAGCTTTCCATTTATTTCAGGAGATCAGGTCCACTCTTTTTCCTCTACAAGATTCCTGGGAAAGACACAGTCTCCCCCCATCATCTTCAGGCTGTTATCATCTGAAGCCAGAGAAGCTAGTTTTCAGGTGCTACTGCCCCTGCTAATAATGGAGGCAGTTACCTGAGCAGGAAAGGGGGGTTATATCTGCAGAAGCAAAAAGGGGTGCAGTTAGTTCATGGGTTCCCTGCTAGGTTACCTCTTTTGAACCACACAAAGACCGGTCCCCTTACTCACCATCAACTATCCTTGTCTGGAAAATTTGATGGGTGACTACAGCTAGCCTTAACTCTCTATGGAATAGCAGCACATAATGGACTTTTTCATTAGCGACTCATCCATATCTGTGTTTATAAATAATACAAACAGAAAACATTTCTTTCAAAACATGATTTCCCCAAGACAGACCCAGCCTTAAGGGCTAAGCATGATGTTGATGTTCTAAGTGTTTCTGAAACTTTTCACTATCATGCCCCCTTATACAAGCGAAGGAGCTCAGATCCCAGTTGCACCCTGCTACAGACTAGATCACAGCGGCTATAAGGAGTCCCCGCAGCGCTCCAGCATATGTGAGATCCCACCAAGATTAGAGGAATGCATGAGGGAACCTGACAAGAAATTTTTCATTTTAAAAGAAGGTAAGAATCTCAGGCCCATCAGTGCAGCCTGGATGTATAATTTGAGAAAACCCATGCTAAGTAATATATACATTACACAAAAGCACCCTTGCCTCTATTAAAGGAATGGCTGTCAGATTAAAAGATTTTTATTTGAAACCAAGTTACCAATATAAGACACCACCTTACACTGTTAGAACTGAAAGATCAGTAAGAATTTACTTTCATCTATTAACATTTAGTTACTCTTTATACTTCCCTCAGTTTAGAAGTCAGACCTTATAGCCCTATTCCTGGAACACTTGCATTACTTACACAACTAGTTCTATTGAGTTTATAGGACTACACATGTATTTGCTTGTTGGATTAGGGCCTGAATTAGCCAGGATATTTAAATATAGGTCCATCTCTGTGATTTGTCTGCACAAATTCAATCCTTGATTTGTTTTCACTCAGAGTTGTTGATTTTGTTTTTAAAATGAACCACATTATGTAGGATTGTAAGGATTTGGTTTTTATCCAAAAATGCTGGTAAACATTGATTTAATTCTATAAACACATGCAAACCAAAGGAAAAATATTTCCATTGAAATTTACAGAAAAATGCTGCTTGAGAATTTAAGCATTTAATTGAAGGATGTTTACTTTGTATATTTTATCACATTGATTCCAAAGCTTTAAACTTTTCATATCTCAATGACTACTCATTAAATAGTCTTGAAACACCCACCCCATTATGTGTCTCAACTGTTAAAATTTAAATCAAAATTAAAAAGTTAAAAATAAAACTTAGCTATTATCCATCAAAATTATTAAAAAATTCTACCAAGCCTAGTTATAGTGTAGATTTCCTGTCACAAGTTGGATTAGGCTCATTTAATAACATTGTCAGGGAGCATTGATGTAAGGTCATTTTGTATGGGTGAAAATGGCAGTATATATTGAAAATTCTAAATCACAACGAAAAAGTTTTTGTTCTTTTTTAAAGTCAGGAGAATATTTGCATTCAAACAGACTTCCCTGTGAAGTATTTACAGCACCTGACAGTCTGCCTTTAAGCTTTATTAAGAAGTTTTGGACATTCAGCCTGGCCCCACTTAATGGAGAGAAACTGGAGTTACTGATTCTTATGCCTGCTCTGCCATTAACTTTCTGTGACTGAACGTCTATACCTCAGTTTCCCCATCTGTAACAGAAAGGCATACACCTCAATATGTATGAAGAATACAAATTTGGGGACTCCTTATAGCCGCTGTGATCTAGTCTGTAGCAGGGTGCAACTGGGATCTGAGCTCCTTCGCTTGTATAAGGGGCCAGGATTAGTTTGTACAGTGGTAGAAGTACTGAGTTACATGAGAGACAGTATCTCCTTTGTAAACATTTTATTAAGCAAAATATGGATCTGACATCCCTGGGAATTAAGGAGGCTAAATACTTTTGTGGATCTGGGCTTAACGACTTGGTCTGCACAAACAGGTAGCAGTTGAAAGTGCAAGCTTCACAACTGCCCCATTATAAAGCAGCCTTGACTTGCAGGGAGCGTCTCCAAGGGGCAAGGAATCAGGCCAGTCTCCATGATGTTCAGTGCTCGGCTTCTCCAAAAAAGCCAAGTGTGGGGGTAGTTTTATTGTGTGGGCACCTGTTCACCAGAAACTGGACTGAGCTCGCCAGATCACTTTACATACAAAGTCAGCAGCCAGCCGATAATAACTTGGAAGACACTACTGGCCTGGATTGAATTTGAACTAGCAACTTTGAAGCAATAGGTTCAGCTTACTAATGGCATGGGACAGGTTAAGTCCCCCATGACTGAGGCTTTTGCCATTATTCACTGTGCCTACTCTAGCACCTTTGAAGTTGACATGTTTTCTTGCAAAACCAGGTTCCTTCCAACACATGTACAAAATGGTCAAGTGTTGCAGCACTGTTCATGAGCAAGAGACTGCTAGGACTGTACCTTGAAAGCTAGGCCAAGTTTGATATTTGAGCCGTCCACATAAATATATAGGTTTTAAGTTATCTCCAAGGAGAGCTCATACAATTTGAACATAACGCTTTAGACTTCTTTCAGTGAATTTGGAATAGAGTTCACTTTCCTCTCGCCTACTCTTTAATAATTTTAACTGTCAACAGCCTAGAGATATTTTAACAGCTCTCGACTCTCCATTCAAGTCCTCTGAACGTACCTACTTTTTTTTTTTTTTTTTTTTTAGACCACTGAAATCAAGGAATGAAAGTCCAGAATCACTAGTCACGTGAAAATCTTGGCTAAGAGTAACTGACAAAGTGGAGTGGTTATATAGGCAATTTGCTATATCTTCACCAACTCCCTCTGAATTGCACCTGAAGAGATGCCTTTTCCACAGATTGAGTAAAAGATTCAAGTTGAAGATTCCCAAAGATTCAGATTAAGGTATGGGAAGAAAACCCCGTAGTTGTCTATCTTCTAAAATGGAACAGTCCCAGTCTTTTTACTCTCTCCTCATATGGAAGCTGTTGCATACCCCTCATCATTTTTGTTGCTTCTTTCTATACCTTTTCCAATTCTAATGTATCCTTGAGATAGGACAACCAGAACTGCATGCAGTATTCAAGGTGTAGGTGTAACATGCCTTTATAATAATTGTTTTATTATCCACCCTTTCCTAATGGTTCCTAACACTGTTAGGTTTTTTATTCCCACTGACATTGAGCAGATGTTGTGAGCAAAGAGGTTTTCTTGAGCTTTTCCCAGCACTGTGCATAAGCTGTAATTCAGCAATTTACTTATTAGTGCCAAAATTCAGCTAAAATGTTTACCATCCAGGAAAGGTGCAAATGAGAACAGCACATTCTCTTGAGATTTGCTCTAACAGACGTTAGAAGATTTCAGTTTTATAACCAACGTAAGTGATTTAAATACAGAGAACCTGATCTCATTTTGTTGTTTATATTTCAAAATTCTTTTCGTTCGTCTAACTTATGTATGGAAGGATAAGTTTAACCTGTTTCCCATCACCTTTTAAAGTAAATCACATTTATACTCAACAGCAAAGGAAGTGATTGTTTACATGATTTGATAAAATACAATGCTGAGATTAAAGTATAAATAGTACAAGTGAATAATCTTCAACATTTAAACTTGACGTAACAGGCCCCAGAAGGGATGAATCATCCAAACCAAACCCAGTTTGCTAAACAGGAGAAAGACAGTCTAGTATGCTTTATCTCATCAAGTGTTACATTTTACCTACTTTCAAAGGGTGGTCCTCATACTTTTGATTTCCCTCTCTCCTTTATAATCCAAACATTGTTTATTAACCCCGGTCAAAGGATAAACATTTGTATGGTGTTCCAAAAGTCTCCCTTAATGGCCAAACATCAAGAGGTTTCATTTTTCTGAAAGTTAAAAAATCAGCAATTGTGCAAAAACACTTGAGACAAATTGCTCAAAGAATTTTTAATTCATTTATTACCTGTGCACAAGAGAAATAACTACCAATAAAAACTCAAAAGATATACAGTATTTTTACATGGTGGTTAAAAGTAATTAGAATATCACATGACACTGTCAGTGAAAGTAATTCTTCCAATTACAAATCATAATGCATGTTAGAATCTCAATGAGAGAAGCCAAAAAGCTTTAGAAGCAGTTTCAGAGCATACAGTAGTGCTCCTTCAATCTGCAAAAAGATTAAGATAATTTACAGTCAATCCTTGTGAATACTGAGACAATGTTACAATGCAGCTTTCTGTACAGTTAGATGTAGACTTAGAGATAATTAGATCAATAATTCTAGCATATTTTAAATGAAATGAACTTGCCTAAACTCTTTTGCTGAGAGATGTTCACCAAAGATGCTCAAAGTTTCTCCACTAGAAATGTGTCAATTTTATTTGTTCTGGATTTTTTTAGTTACATAGATTCATTCTATTGCAGTGTTTAAGTTCCTAGATGTGAGCTGTTTCCAACATTTATATTGTGTGTATATTTTATACAAATAAAAGCAAAAATGATAGATAAATCAAGTGGTATAAATCTTACAGCATTTTGCTAGCAAAAAATACATGCTGAAGTCACAAAAAGCAGTATTGGTACCCACAAATTATAGCTTCATTTAATTTGTTTCCTTTTTAATAATTTGTATTCTACATAAATTACTACCCAAAGCTAATGTTTAAGTAGTAAATAAATTGGACAATTGTAGGTCTGACAAAACCTGTTGATTCAATTGTGAAAGATATCTGTTTCAACAAAATCACAACAAATGCTGAACAAAGAGAAGTGTTTGATGCATGCAACAACTGTGAATGAAAAAGCATTGATTCCCACTGTTCAAAGAAAACTACTGCACTCCACCTTAAAATGCATCGGACTGGGTGTAGTTATAACAAGACAATCTCAAGAGTCAGAATGAAATAAAGCAAGTATTTTAAAGATTTAAGAGCTGTTATCAAAAATAAATTACATTTTTCAAGTTAAAGAAATGTTGCTATGATGGTTGGGAGCCCAGTAGCCTTTCAATAGCTGCATTGATATCTCCTCCTGTTGCTATTAGAGCTTGTAAATTTGCTTCACGGTTCAAAAAGCCCATTGCACTGAGCTGCTCCAGTTGTTGCTGAAATCTGACTTCTGGATTTTGTAACTGCTAAAAAGAGGACAATTTATTTCAAGCTGTAGACACAGGCTTAATACAAATACTGTGTACAAACTGTACTAGATTAAATACATTTGATTCTATTCCATACTTTGTCTTGGCGTATTTCTGCAACTAAAGTTTCCTTTAGTCTCCAAAACCAGACAGCAAAATTGAAATGCTTGAACAACTGCAACTGAATAGCATCTTTCTCCAAGGATAGTCTGCTGACTGGTTTAAGAACACCTGTACCTGTACTGATTGTTTTTGAAGTGACTACAGGAAGTGCTGCATGTTTGATGTGATGTAAGGGAGCAAAGCAAGATAATCTGATTGAGAATCATTTCCTCAAAATAGTTCCTTCCAAATGCCATTAACAGATTGTTCTTGTAAATGAAATGAAGAGTTAAATCCAATGATGCTATGCTTTGGAGATTTTTAATAAACTCATTGCTGGTTACTGAACTGATGAGGCAAAGTAAAGTTATTCTCGTTATTGGCATATTACCTTTTATAATTTCTAAAGGCTTTAAAAAAGTCAAGAAGTATTTGAAGTTGCAAAAGTTTCATAAAAGTTTAGAACTTCCAAATGGGAAACTGAACAGCTGTGCTTTTATGGTCTGATCCCGCTCCCACACAATTAGTGGCAGAAATACTGGCTTCGATAGTACAGAATTGAGCCCTTACAAACTTCTGATGGTTAGAAGCATTCTTTGAAACCGTTTTAGTTGTAAGTGACAATATGTTTAACATAGGTATTTTAAACCAAGAAAGCCAAAGAAACTACACTTCTTGCTGTTTCCAGAAGTTGCCATTCCAAGAGTTCTTTAACTCCAGTTTTGACAGATAAGCAACAAAGGGGAAACTGTTTTTCAAATACTAGATTTTAAAGAGTGAACAGTTACAGGAGTTAGTGAACAACCTATAAAAATACAAAAAGCTTTTTTTGTTCATCATCAAGCCTTCCATTCTAGCTTGATTCCAGCTATTAAGCCCATGTTCAAGTATTACAGCACAGATGGTATGGCTGTTCTGAACTCCCTACATTACCTAAGCAGTAAGGGAATATTAAATGGACACCAAAAAATTCTCTTAGCCAACATTTTTACCTACTATTTGTTACTTGGAACTCTCAGTTTAACAGATTAAACAAAAACATTTTGCTCTGATTTCTAGTTTGTGTGCATTTCGCAGAATGTTATCTATAGTGAGTGTCCTTTGTCTGTATAGCAATTAGGCTGACAAATAGTTTTAAGATAAAATGTTACTGTACAAACAAGAGTTAGCAGAAATCTTAGGGGCTATTGCATACCTGAAACAACTTGCTTTTTGAAATCTAGTTCATCTCAAGTTTGCAATAAAGTCAGTACCCAAATTAAGAATTTTATAGCTTTTGTCAGTCTAAGTTTGCTCTTTGTACTACTAAGGACATTTTGCACATTGTGAGAAACTTCTACCACCATATCAGTCTTTCAGATCGATACAAGACAAATGACACCTACACAGAATTGAAATAGCTTTAAAAAAACAAAACTGACTGGGCAGAGGCATAAGTGAAAGGCTCAACATCGACACTGAATCTGCGCATTTCTCTGTGCACGTGAACAACTCAAGGGCAAATGGTCCCCAGGACAGAAGTATTAAAATTTCAATTTTTCCAGCATTTATTTTCACATCGGGAAGACAACAGTTTTCTAGCCTGGTCTGCTCATCCATCCATTAGCCACCAGCATTAAGCATGTGTTTTTTCAAGTACTCCCTAACTGCCCCTTTCAGCCTACATTGATAAATCAAATAATAGATACATCTTAAAGTTCTAGGATTTAGCCATCTGCTACCTTACCTGAGCATTTGCACCAGCAAGTGCCTGCAACATTTGCTGAACAAATTGTTGGTGACTAGATTCAGCAACTCCTGAGGCTGGACTTGTATTTTCACTGGGGATGGAGCTAGGTATGGTTGTCCCTGTTGGACCGCCAGTGCTTCCTAATCCCCCTACACCAGGATTAAATCTGCAGAGATGAGGAACAGCAATGCTAACATTCATTTTTGTATTAAAGTTGATCATCACATACTATTACTCCTCCCCCCACCAACTGTCACACTGGAATTCTGTGGATATCAGTGGGAATGAAGAATGTGAATTTAATGTAAGTAAAGCATCCAAACACAGTAAGATCCATTATAAATAGGGCCCTACCAAGTTCATGGTCCATTTTGGTCAATTTCATGATCATAGATTTTTAAAAATCATAAATTTCATGATTTCAGGTATTTAACTCTGAAATTTTACTCTGTTGTAATTGTAGGGGTCCTGACCCAAAAAGGAGTTGTGTGTGGTGGTGGGGGACTTCCGGGGGGTGTGGGGGAGGGGAGAGAAAGGGTGTCACAAGGTTATAGTGAGAAGTGTGAGGTCATGCATTTAGGGATTAACAACAAGAATTTTAGTTTTAAGCTGGGGACGCATCAATCAGAAATAACGGAGGAGGAGAAGGACCTTGGAGTATTGGTTGATCATAGGATGACTATGAGCTGCCAATGTGATATGGCTGTGAAAAAAGCTAATGCGGTCTTGGGATGCATCAGACGAGGTATTTCCAGTAGAGATAAGGAGGTGTTAGTACTGTTATTCAAGGCACTGGTGAGACCTCATCTGGAATACTGCGTGCAGGTCTGGTCTCCCATGTTTAAAAAGGATGAATTCAAACTGGAGAAGGGCTACTAGAGATGATCCGAGGAATGGAAAACCTGTCTTACAAAAGGAGACTCAAGGAGCTTGCCTAGCCTAACCAAAAAAGGTTGAGGGGAGATATGATTGCTCTCTATAAATATATCAGAGGGATAAATACCAGAGAGGGAGAGGAATTATTTAAGCTCAGTACCAATGTGGACAAAAGAACAAATGGATATAAACTGGCCATCAGGAAGTTTAGACTTGAAATTAGACGATGGTTTTTAACAGTCAGAGGAGTGAAGTTTTGGAATAGCCTCCAAGGGAAGCAGTGGGGGCAAAAGACCTATCTGGCTTCAAGATTAAAACTCGATAAGGTTATGGAGGAGATGGTATGATGGGATAACATGATTTTGGCAATTAATTGATCTTTAACTATTCATGGTAAATAGGCCCAACTGCCTGCAGTGGGATTTAGATGGGGTGGGATCTGAGTTACTACAGAGAATTCTTTCCTGGGTATCTGGCTGGGGAATCTTGCCCACATGCTCAGGGTTAAGCTGATTGCCATATTTGGGGTCGGGAAGGAATTTTCCTCCAGGGTAAATTGGAAGAGGCCCTGGGGGTTTTTCACCTTGCTCTGCAGCATGGGGCACGGGTCACTTGCTGGAGGAGGCGCTTTTCTTGACCTGCTGCTCACAAACCAGGTAGAATTAGTGGGGGAAGCAAAAGTGGATGGGAATCTGGGAGGCAGTGACCATGAGTTGGTTGAGTTCAGGATCCTGACGCAGGGAAGAAAGGTAAGCAGCAGGATACGGACCCTGGACTTCAGGAAAGCAGACTTCGACTCCCTCAGGGAACGGATGGCCAGGATCCCCTGGGGGACTAACATGAAGGGGAAAGGAGTCCAGGAGAGCTAGCTGTATTTCAAGGAATCCCTGTTGAGGTTACAGGGACAAACCATCCCGATGAGTCGAAAGAATAGTAAATATGGCAGGCGACCAGCTTGGCTTAATGGTGAAATCCTAGCGGATCTTAAACATAAAAAAGGAGCTTACAAGAAGTGGAAGGTTGGACATATGACCAGGGAAGAGTATAAAAATATTGCTCGGGCATGTAGGAATGGTATCAGGAGGGCCAAATCGCACCTGGAGCTGCAGCTAGCAAGAGATGTCAAGAGTAACAAGAAGGGCTTCTTCAGGTATGTTGGCAACAAGAAGAAAGCCAAGGAAAGTGTGGGCCCCTTACTGAATGAGGGAGGCAACCTAGTGACAGAGGATGTGGAAAAAGCTAATGTACTCAATGCTTTTTTTGCCTCTGTCTTCACTAACAAGGTCAGCTCCCAGACTGCTGCGCTGGTCATCACAAAATGGGGAAGAGATGGCCAGCCCTCTGTGGAGATAGAGGTGGTTAGGGACTATTTAGAAAAGCTGGACGTGCACAAGTCCATGGGGCCGGACGAGTTGCATCCGAGAGTGCTGAAGGAATTGGCGGTTGTGATTGCAGAGCCATTGGCCATTATCTTTGAAAACTCATGGCGAACGGGGGAAGTCCCGGATGACTGGAAAAAGGCTAATGTAGTGCCAATCTTTAAAAAAAGGGAAGAAGGAGGATCCAGGGAACTACAGGCCAGTCAGCCTCACCTCAGTCCCTGGAAAAATCATGGAGCAGGTCCTCAAAGAATCAATCCTGAAGCACTTGCATGAGAGGAAAGTGATCAGGAACAGCCAGCATGGATTCACCAAGGGAAGGTCATGCCTGACTAATCTAATTGCCTTTTATGATGAGATTACTGGTTCTGTGGATGAAGGGAAAGCAGTGGATGTATTGTTTCTTGACTTTAGCAAAGCTTTTGACACGGTCTCCCACAGTATTCTTGTCAGCAAGTTAAGGAAGTATGGGCTGGATGAATGCACTATAAGGTGGGTAGAAAGCTGGCTAGATTGTCGGGCTCAACGGGTAGTGATCAATGGCTCCATGTCTAGTTGGCAGCCGGTATCAAGTGGAGTGCCCCAAGGGTCGGTCCTGGGGCCGGTTTTGTTCAATATCTTCATAAATGATCTGGAGGATGGTGTGGATTGCACTCTCAGCAAATTTGCAGATGATACTAAACTGGGAGGAGTGGTAGATACGCTGGAGGGGAGGGATAGGATACAGAAGGACCTAGACAAATTGGAGGATTGGGCCAAAAGAAATCTGATGAGGTTCAATAAGGATAAGTGCAGGGTCCTGCACTTAGGACGGAAGAATCCAATGCACCGCTACAGACTAGGACCGAATGGCTAGGCAGCAGTTCTGCAGAAAAGGACCTAGGGGTGACAGTGGACAAGAAGCTGGATATGAGTCAGCAGTGTGCCCTTGTTGCCAAGAAGGCCAATGGCATTTTGGGATGTATAAGTAGGGGCATAGCGAGCAGATCGAGGGACGTGATCGTTCCCCTCTATTCGACATTGGTGAGGCCTCATCTGGAGTACTGTGTCCAGTTTTGGGCCCCACACTACAAAAAGGATGTGGATAAATTGGAGAGAGTCCAGCGAAGGGCAACAAAAATGATTAGGGGTCTGGAACACATGACTTATGAGGAGAGGCTGAGGGAGCTGGGATTGTTTAGCCTGCAGAAGAGAAGAATGAGGGGGGATTTGATAGCTGCTTTCAACTACCTGAAAGGGGGTTCCAAAGAGGATGGCTCTAGACTGTTCTCAATGGTAGCAGATGACAGAACGAGGAGTAATGGTCTCAAGTTGCAGTGGGGGAGGTTTAGATTGGATATTAGGAAAAACTTTTTCACTAAGAGGGTGGTGAAACACTGGAATGCGTTACCTAGGGAGGTGGTGGAATCTCCTTCCTTAGAGGTTTTTAAGGTCAGGCTTGACAAAGCCCTGGCTGGGATGATTTAACTGGGAATTGGTCCTGCTTCGAGCAGGGGGTTGGACTAGATGACCTTCAGGGGTCCCTTCCAACCCTGATATTCTATGATTCTCTGCACCTTGGAAGTCTTTAAACCATGATTTGAGGACTTCAATAGCTCAGACATAGGTGAGAGGTTTATTGCAGGAGTGGGTGGGTGAAATTCTGTGGCCTGCATTGTGCAGGTCAGACTAGATGATCAGAATGGTCCCTTCTGACCTTAATATCTATGAATCTATTGTGGGGGAGGGGTTGTGGTACTGCTACCCTTACTTCTGCACTGCTCCTGGCGGCGCTGCCTTCAGAGCTGGAGAGCAGCAGCTGCTGGCCAGGAGCCCAGCTCTGAAGGCAGAGCCATTGCCAGCAGCAGCATAGAAGTAATGATGGCATGCTATGGTATTGCCACCCTTACTTTTGCACTGCTGCATGCAGAGCCGGGCCCTCAGTCAGCAGCCACCACTCTCCGGCCACCCAGCTCTGAAAGCAGAAGTACAGAAGTACGGGTGGCATGGTATGGGGTATTGCCACCCTTACTTCTGCCCTGTTGCTGGTGGGGTGCTGCCTTCAGAGCTGGGTGCCCAGCCACTAGCCTCCGCTCTCCAGCCACCACTCTCCGGCCACCCAGCTCTGAAGGCAGCGCAGAAGTAAGGGTGGCAATACCATGCTGCCCCCCGCCCCTCCCCCCAAAATAACCTTGAAAACCCTCCCCCGCCCCCCCGCGACTCCCTTTTCTGTCAGAACCCCCAATTTGAGAAATGCTGGTCTCCTCCATTAAATCTGTGTAGTATAGGGTAAAAGCACACAAAAGACCAGATTTCATGGTCTGTGACGCATTTTTCACAGCTGTGAATTTGGTAGGGCCCTAATTATAAACATTAGCATATTAACATTTTTTAAGGGGAAAAAGGTAGGAGATGCCTGAAATGAAGATATTTAGTAAACTGTAAATAGTGTTTGTGTGGAACAACTTGTGCAACTGGACAAGCTTCTAAATTTAAAGCAGCAAGACAAAAAGCTGACAAATAAACCAAAGAGATTTAAAATAAATAAGTGAAGAAATGTACAAGTTCGTTGGGCCAACTCTTACCCTGGTATAAGCCCTGGTGCTTCTGTTGCTAGTGTCTGCAAGCCCTGTTGAATTTGTAGCAAAGCTTGCATTGCTCTAGGGTTTGACATTGCCGACAGTGTGTCTGGGTTCTGCATCTAAGAAAAGGAAAAACTTGTTATATAACTGAAACATGTACCAAGTTAATCTTCATCACTGTTTGTTTCTTGTAGTGAACCCACTCCCTCAACACCTGTTATTGCTCATCTTTTTATTCTAATACCTCTCTGCATGCTTCTTGTGATGGTTCCCTCTTTTGCAGTTGCAGCTCTACCAAGACCTTTTAAGTATGGGGAATCGTGACAGATAAGGCAGTATCCTCAAAAAAATGTTACTGTACTAAATGCAAAGCTTACAAATTATTGTGGGCTAGGATTTCAGGTAACCTCTTGGGGGATGTGATGTAAGACCTGGAAGTTCAAAGGCATAATCTCAGTATAGTCTAGACAAGAATGGGTTTTCCGGGACAATAAGGGTGAAGTGAATTACCTAGGGAAATGTTAACACAAATTATTCACTTCCGGTGATGCAAAAACCCTGAGGAGAGGGTAACTGTCTTCTGATTACCTGGTCCTGAAGGCTAATGGCCTGAGCTGTATAGAAACAAGATGACTTCCCCAATCTTAGTTCTGAGACAACTATCAACTTGTAAACCCAAATGTGGGTTTTGAAGGACTGACATCTATCAGAGCCTGAAGTTGGAGTAATCTCTGGTAACTTTTTACCATGCATGTCAGTTCTTCTATTGTTTTTAAACATTTTTTCTGCAACGCTTTTACCTTAAGAATAAATGTGCTTCCTTATAAGGAGCTGTGTGGTCATTTATAACAGAGGCAGTATATTGGGCGTAGCCTTTGGAGAAAAAGCAAAAGCACAGATGCTGGCTTTAGGCAGTCTGGCTTGCTAGGTGTAAATTATCACAGTGTAAATTAGGGAGCTGTGCAGCTGTAACACCCCAGGACAGGAGGGAGAGAGATGTGGATCTCTGCCCAGGAGAGTTGACAGCTGAGGAGTTGGGAGCCTAGAGGAAGTGCCTTTGGTGGACCACCAGGGGATGGGGGTAGGGGAGAGGGGAGGAGGATAAAGGTGCAATTGGCCTACATTGTGACAAACTACTCCAGAAGCACTGTTTCTCACTAGTCGTCCAGCGAAATGTATCATATGACATACCTGATCTTCAGACTAGGACTGCTATTAAGTTTAGACTTCGCAAGTGTATGCTCAATACCCCCTCTCTGCATTATCTATAGTGCCATATCAGCCTACTTATGTACACGAATGCTATCTAGATGATACATACAGTCTGATGTATACACTTAAGATGGCTGGATCAAGTTCCTCTTCACCTGCTGGAACATCTGAACCTGTAGCTTTCACAACTATTGATAAGCACAAGCCAAATCCTGAGATCTGAAAATCTCTAGACACTGCGAAGTTTCAAATATGAAACTGAAGTTCATGGCTTCGGCCCATCTCTTATCAGAACAACTACATAAACAAAAGGTGAAATCTTGCAATGACTTTTGAGTGACAAGATTTGTCTAAGATTCAAACTCTTGGGGGTTACAACAAAGACAGCACTCTCATTTACCATTTGGAGAATCACCTAATGGATTCTAAAATGAGGCTGGCTTAGTATTTGGTTGTGCTATTTATCATCTTGTCTTCAAAGTTACAATGGACCATTACCAGATTTTTGACAAACACTGTGCCTCAAAGGGAAGTGGCTGAAAATTAGGACATGCCAAGAACTAACTATTTCCTTCTGTGTTTTGAGATTGTGGCACTCCTTTCCTCTTAGGGAAAGGGGACTAGTTTCAAGGTCCACACTTGAAGACTAACAAAAGCAAAGTGTTTCAAGAAGGCCCTACCAGAAGTGGCTGCTCCTCTAACAACCATTCTTATTGGGTGTTTTAGTATAGGATAAAAATTATAAAAATCCTACCATGTTAGGCTCCTAACCACCCTGTTCTCCAGTTTTTCCCTTAGGCTATGTCTACACTACACCAAAACAGCCAAGGCAGCTGACTCAGGCTCACTGGGCTCGGGCTGTGGGGCTATAAAATTGCCGTGTAGATGTTTGGGCTCAGGCTGGAGTCTGGGCTCTAGGACCCTTACATGGATCAGGCCAAGTTGTTAGCTTCCACAAATGCAGAACAGGATCTGGAGAAAAATTCTAAACCTTCTCTGATTAAGTTCAGGCCAGAAATGCTCAGTGAGATATGAGAAGTATTGTGGGTCCTTCATGCACACAATACGTCTTTTAGATACGTTGAGGAAGGTCAGAGGGAAAGAGCTAGATCCACAGCTGGTGAAATTTGTCAGTGTCTCTGAGGAAAGACCCAGTGCCAACTTCTGCAAAGTATGCCGCTATGCACTCTTTGCCTTTGCACAACTTGTCTATCATCTAGTGTCCAACAGTTTGAGTTTTATTATAATAGAAAAGACTGACAATTCAGAGCACCTAGATGTCTTAGATTTCCTTACTCCTGTTAATCTGGTACAGACGTGAGTATAGATCAGAAACTATATTGATGGATGAGGATCTCTCCCAGGAGTGGTAGGGCTGCACACAGCTGTGCGTGTTCTTCCTTGCCGAGCACTCCCACAGAGTAGTACTATGCAACTGCTCATTATCCCAAATGACACAGTCACAACAATTGCCATGGGATTCCGTCTCACCTTCCCTCACCTAGAGGATTAGTGCAGAGGTATGGGCTGCAGTGCTTTTAGCTCTTCATCTCCATCTCACCCTATGCAGTCAGTGGTTTGAACACCTGACCCTGCCTCTGTGGAGGCTGAAAAAATGGATGAGAGTGAGGTGGCTAAAGTTCAACCCAGATAAAACTAAGGTTATTTTATTTGACGTATGCAATCTGGCCAAGCCACAGCGCTCTTATCAAGAAGGTTCAAGACCTCCACGAAGTTGAGTCATCATGCAGTTCCCAACAACATGCATCACGGTTTGTGGCTGCCCACACTGACATAGTGGACTTTCTCATTCAGGGCACAATATCAGGCCTCTACCTTTCGGGGAGGGAAAGGCAAACCAAGAGCTCATGTTAGTGGTGGAGGAAAAGGGGTTTGGGTTAGTATTTGCAAGTATTTAAATCACTAAAAGCCCAACTCCCAATTGAAGCTAGCGTTTGCAGTAGAATCATAGACCAGGCCTTTATGCTTTCAACCAGAACAAAGCAAGACCATATGTTTGCAATTCAGCTAACACTACACGCAAGATGTTTGCTGACAACAGTTAGCCTCTCTTTTACTCACTTGTTGAAGGAAAGTTGGGAGTTGTTGTCTCATTTGTTCCTGAAGCTGAGGATTTCCAGCAAATAAGGGATTATTCAGCATCATCTATGAGGCAAATGTTCAATTTTAGCTGCAAATACTAAAGACAGTAAATAAAGCTGCTCCCCTCTCCATCTCCCCCCCCCCCCAAAAAAAAGGTGGTTTAGTGCAACTTATATATTCAGTACATTTATAATTAACCGTTTAATATGACAATTAGGATCTTCTTTGAAAAACAGAAATCTTTTAAATGACCATGTTGTCTTCCTTCACTTACTGTCCAAAACTGACTTCTGCTAGACATCCAGTCATCTAACAATGGACAACTAGGTGGATGGGTTTTTTTTGTAATTTTTTTTTTTTTTAAAGTTTTTATCCAGATGGAAGTGCCATTATTTGCATAAACATCCCTTTGCAGATGAGATAGACTGAAGAGGATGAACAGGATAAGACTTGCATACTACAGAGTTAAGGACTGTTCCTCTATGCACACATTCAATGTGTGCAAAAAGCCAGTGAAGCTCCCCTGCTAAGTGTTTTTTGTTTTTTTTAAAAGCATGAGATACTTTCCATTTCACTCCACGTGGCACACATCCAACCTGTGCTGACCCTTTAGAAGCTGAACCCACAGGCATATTTGCACTATAAGTGATATTAGGAAAAGACTATGCCGCCATTCATAAAGCTGTAATAGTATTTGCACTTATACAGCAAATGAAAGCCATACAGGAAGGTCACAGCTGAAGACTGAAGATACAAGTACCATGTATCTGACAGCCTGAACAACTAACTCCTAAAATCAGTTTGGGGCTACATAGACCAGTGGCCCTGCCTAAAAGTTTGAGACTAACTTTTCAAGTGGTTCCTATATGAAATCACAAGTTTATGGTTGTTAAAACATTTCACACTGAAGTACACACAAAAAATTTCAGCTCCCGTGGTGTTCTGTCCATCTAACTTAGTACTACCTGGCCCCTTCGGTTCACCCAAGGTTCTGAGCCAAGAGTTTTTGCAGTTTGCTTTACAGTCTTGCCAGTGCTCCCTGTTTAGCTCTATCCTGCAGTTAGACTCAGGAGGTTGACTGTCAAGATGTCTAACTAGGAACTGGAGAAGCATATTAATAGGCTAGTAGGTGTTGGTGTTAGCACATAAAATTGTTACTTTGTTGTGACAGTAGTTATTGCATGAATTTGCAATCCCTCTCTTTTCATTCAGTACATACAGTACATAGGTGCCTTTACCTGTGCTGCAAGATCAGGGTTCTGGCTTAGTGACTGCATCATGCTTCTCATATAGGGTGCAGACAACATGTTCTGCATAAGCTGTGGATTTTCTGTTATCTGCTGCAACAAACTCTGCATTCCTGGAGTGTTGAACATACCAGCTTAAAAAGTAGAAAATGGTCACTTTAGCAATTCATAAGCATGAAAATAGTGACAGATGCATTTTCATTTAATTATAATTAAATATGGTGATGAGTGCATAACACTTCCATGATTTAACATGAGAGAGTAATTACTGTCTATAATGGACATCAGCCACCACTCATCTCAAGAAGCTTCTCCACTTTTAACCCATAATCCAGGGGTAGGGAACCTATGGCCCGTGGGCCGGATTCGGCATCCTGCTTAATTTCATCTGGCCCATGGCAAGTCTCGGCGCTGCAGGTCAGAAGCACCAAGCCTCTGCGCCATCCCACGGGGGACTCGCCCCGCTGTGGAGTGAAACTGGGGTTGCCAGGCCATTAAAAGTCCAGTTGGCAGCGCAGCAGGCTTAAGGCAGGCTCCTTGCCTGCCCTAGCTCCGCGCAACTCCCAGAAGCAGCTGGCATGTCCCACCCCGCACTCCAACCCTCTGCCCCAGCCCAGTGAAAGTGAGTGAGGGTGGGGGAGAGCAAGCGACTGAGGGAGGGGGGCTGGAGTGTTTGATTTTGTGCAATTAGAAAGTTGGCAACCCTAGGGGAAGCATGTGCATGGTAGCCAAAAGATTAAGAAGGAACTGAGGGGGTGGTGGGTAGGCAGGCCTCTATATTGAGTGTCATGAAGGCAAGACTCTAGGGGGCACCCAGGGCGACCCGACGGATGCTGCTAGGGAAAAGTCTTCCAGCTACCATGCATATGCACACACCTGATAGGAACTGACATGAACAAGCACTCGAAGAACAGGCTGTTAAACTAATAAGGGCACTTCTCAAAATTGTGCACTCTCCATAATTCTTTTAAACCACTCAGAAAACCTGATTATCCCATCACAAATGGTACCAACACTTCTAGAAGTGTGTCCAGTCACACCCTTCCATTCCTACATAAGCTTCCTGCACACAGTTTTGGAGCTGTCTTCAAATGTTAATTTACATCTCTTCAGTTACTCAGTCTAGTCATTCCTTCACCATTTGACCATGTGCTATCACTACAAAGTCAGATCCAGCAGACCACTTCCCACATCTTGTACAGGAAGAATGTGTTGTGCTTTTTGGGTAACCTGAATAATCTACCAACATTAGTAAGCTTGCAAACAGCTCCGGAAGAGAAGTCAACTTCCAGAGCACTGCGAACAAGTTCTTCCTTAACCTGTGAAACTTCAGTTTGTAACTAACAGCGTTATGAGAGTGTGGAGTTGACACTGAAACCAAGATATTCTACTTTTCATTTTGTACGCTTATTCAAAAATGTTAAAAAATAACTTTAAAAATTAGGTAAATTATTCTCTGGCAAAAAAAGGTTTATATGCCAAATTTTTGCCTGACTTAAATTTTCACATCCAAGTTTAATACCCGTATCCAAAGACTTAGAAGTCATACTGAAAGATATGTACTAGTTACATCAGTATGAACTGAAATGAATTTGAAACTTTCACAATTAAAAAACAAACAAACAAAGACTATCTTGGATATCAAAACTCTATAGACGTTTGAGTTACATTACTAAATCCTAATTTAAGGTAATTCCATATCATCAAATAATCCTAGACTTTTGGGGTTTTTTTGCTTCCTGTCATATGTTGTGCAGTACTTTGGGGTGGAACACAGCAGCTGGTTTAACACAGAAGTGGCTGCAACAGATCTTTCTGTACCTCTCCCTCTGCTCCTGTGCCTGTCCTTGTCTCCCTCCCCTTAACATGCACCTTTCTACACTAACCAGTCTGTCCCAGCCTTCCTCCTCTCTGCACTGGAGCAAGTCAGGCTGTTTCCACCCCACCATGCTACCTGAGAAGCAGCAGGGGGATCACTTACAGCACAAGAGTCTCCCTGCTCTCCTCTGGTGAATGGAGCCACGCACAATAGCCCTTGGCCTACAGCACAGAGTAATTAGTGGCAATGTCAGCCCCTGCAACCTGGGGATGCGGCATGTTTAGTAGCTCTGTGGGATGGGGCATGCTCAGTGAAATCTTCTGTAAATACTGCTGCCGGCCACTAACAGATTTATGAGCATGAGCAAAGTGCTATTTATAAAGACTTGTAATTTGGAAAAATTATGCTAGGTTTTCACAGGAATCACAAAAAGACCCATCTCTTAAAATAGGGTGATGGCTTTCATCTCTGCTCCAAAGCACAGAAATACTAGGGCTTCAAGGAAGAGAATAAAATATTTTATTTTTAACATGCGTTAACCATGTTTTCCCTGGCTCGTTCTCAGAAATGGAGAATAATTTTTGCTGAAAAACTTTAAAAAAATTTAGTGTTAGACTGAAAATGTCTATGCTGGTGTCTGACTAAATTGTTAATATGGCAAAGTTATAGGCAACTGAAAACAAGGTTTTATAATGTGAAATGTTCAACAATCTTCATTATAAGCCTTGAGACCAGCACCACCGATAATATAATTTTATCTAAACAAGTACTTTCTCTTATTTTCCCTTCTTATTACGATGTATCTTTTGCCTTTATATTGCAGCAAATCCTATTTTCCTCCAAATCTATACCAAAGTAGTTGATAACTTGATTCTGACCTCCACTCTGGCAGAGATGTCAACCTGCATCGACTACTTATTAAATTTTCAAACAAGCACCTTTGTGCTCCCTTCCATGGTGTCTTTCGCACACGGGAGGTGATCCCCATAAACATCCACTAAACTGCCTCATTGTCCTTAAACTCTTGTTTGCTGTGTTGCCTGCAGAAAACTTGATATAATAAGTAGCTGCGCTGCTGAGACTAATGTGCATCATGGTGATCATGTTTTCTTGCTTCCATAGGCTCTTCCTGTCTGTTGTGGCCACCCTTTGTTTCTTGACTTAGATTTAGACTGTAAGCTCTTTGAGGCACAGACAATATTTTTTGTTATGTGTTTGTGCAGTGCTTAGCACAATGAAGCTGTGGGTCCATGACTGGGGCTCCTACGTAGCATGAGAATACAAATAAGCTGACTTTGAAGTTGGGGCATTACTATTACAATTTCTAATATTGGTTTATTTAACACATTCACATTTCATTCCTCTGTTTACATGGTAAAATTTCAGTTTGTTTCAGATCTCACATGAACTCTATATGTCCTTTCAGGTAAGTGGGAAAGACTGAGAGGCTGTATCTAACAATATCTCATTCACTACCTACTTTATTGGACTTTTGCACTCTGTCCAGTGTCCAGTGTGAAGAAAGTTTTCAATTTGTCTAGCGAGTCTCTGCTTTTACTGTTATTTTAGCAGATCTGTGGCTCCTCTTAGTGTTCTTGAGATAAGTTTACTTTGCATGTTTGTTTTCCTACATAGGACTTTGATACTAGTAAAGAGAGCTATGCAAGTAAATATTAGTAACACTAAATCAAGTCATTTAAACACAACTTTGTCCAACACAAGAATGTCTGTCAATTTCAGCAATTACTTGCACCTGTGCAAGTAAATACAATTCTACCATAATGAACATACCTCCTACTCCGGGTCCCAAATTAGGCATGGCTGAGCCTGGTCCTGTACTGGTGGCGGTGCTATTTCCAACACTACTACTGCCCCCACTTTCCCCGCTGTTGCTGCCACTGGTTGTGGAACTCTGAGAGCTGGACTGAGGAGCCCAAGGATTTGGTAACGGGTCTCTATTTTCTGTACGAGACGGCTGACTTTCCCCACCTGAAGATGCGTTGCTTACTAAGGACGCAAATGGGTTACCTCCAAACTACAAAGGAGGAAAAACAAGGAATACCATCTATTAAAACCATCAATTTTATCTCTGCTAGAAAGGACAGGTTTTGAGACATATGCAAAATTACAAACTTGAAGACTCTTGACTCTGAGAGCAGTCTTTATTATATTCACCAAGCTAAAACCAGTTTCATGGTAGAATAATCAGCTGTTTTGAGATGCTAATCTTAAAAAGGGACATTAAAAAAATAAAATAAAATAAATCACATCTCTCAAAATGTTGTACCTTACTATAGCAGCAACACCCAGGATTTCAGGCTGAAAGTAGGAAGGGAAAAATCTATTTTCTATTTTGTTAACTTGGTGCATTTGTCAACACTTCCCTTAAAATGAAACTGACTATATATCGTCAGGATATTGAGTTTCTCTCTTGTTGAAAAGACTTAAGAAAAGCAACAAAAAAGACTTCGGAAACTGTGCATAAGGAATCTAAGATAGAATTTCCTGAACCTATTTAAAGAGTACTTTTAAAAACTTTTAGGAATTTAAGTCCATTTCAGAAACTTCAAGTTAAGTGTTCCTTTATGAAACGCACATGCCATAATCACCGACTTTCAGACTGTGTCACAAAACCAAGAAACACAAACTTTACTCTTTCAAGGTTGAGAGTTTGGGATTTCTGCAGTCCTACTTCTACAAATGGAAACAGAAGGTGCAGTGACTTCTAGCACCAAATTACATTTTCTTGAATGCTTGTTTAAACAGTGCATAATTTCCTTCACTCCTGAGAAACTGATTTAATATTAGGTTGTATGTACCCATTTCTCACCTGCTCTTGGGCTGCATTCAACATTGGCTCCTGAATATCTGTGTACATGCGTCGCAAGGCATTGTATCCACCTGGTATACTCTCAAGGTTGCTCAAGGCTCGGTCTTGGTTTCTCATCATTTCCTGCATCATTGCAGGGTTTCTCGCAAGTTCTAGGGTCTAAGGAACATTTAATCTGCATTAGTAAAAAAATTCATTCTAAAGTGAAAACAACATCTGAAGCAGTGTCTCCATTATAACAGCTATTTATAGATTATCTAACCCACTGCAGTTAGTTTGAACTGCTGTTAGAACTAGAGCAAGAATTTTTCTTGTTGGAATAATTAGAAAGTTAAGACAACTGAATTTTCATCTGCCATTTTGTCAAAACTGTAAAATGTTGAAACATTCTAGTTATATAGTACTGATGCAAACAGTATGAATGTATTGTACTGGGCAAGAGAGAAGAAGGAGGACACAGAAAGTTACGTCCAAGTTCATTTCTATTCAAACAGAATTAGTGAATTTACTAAATATTGTTTCAACTCAGAAATACAGTATGCTGCTTTCAAATAAGAACCATTTGAAATAAATATCCGGTTTCTCAAATCCACAGTATCCATCAGTTTGTGTCTTAAAAGCCTCTACAGTGTAGAAGTATGCCAGCACCTTTCAACTGCATTTAAAATCTGACTGAAGTACTAAAATTTATATTAAAGAGTGTTGGGTTTTTTGGCAAGTACATTATTGGCTGTATAACAACCCTCCTTTCTCAAAGAAAATAGGAGATCTGAAGTGCACACAAGTTCTGTCCTAATTTAACTTCAAAAAATTTAGTTATGTAATCCTGAAATACTCTCCAGGGAATGTTATGGATTATTTAACATTAAAGACAACACATTGAACTATTTCAGACATTAGTGACTAGAAAAAAAATCAACAGTATTTGCCTAGAGTAGCATTCTATGAGTTTTCCTATATGATCCTAACTTTCTCAGCAATACTTCAAACACTCAAGTCAGCACATTTAATTTTATTAAAGAATTTTAAAGTTTATTAATTTACAGGGAACTTTCAACATACTTGTCTCATTATATCTGGATTATTAAGCATGTGACTGATCTCTGGATTTCGCTGTATCAATTGCTGCATTTGAGGATTGGCCATAATTAACTGCCTCATCAGGTCGGGATTTGAAAGCATGCTCTGAACAAAGGGATTTTCCATTATCTGAACCATCATTTCCGGGTTGGACATGAGCTGTCGCTGCATCTGACTCTGTAACTCTGAAAAGTTAGATGTATTCAGGCCCAGGCTACTCAGACCTGCAAGTCCTCCGAGGCCACCTTAAGGGGGGAGAAAAAAAAATTGAACTTTCTGCTTTTAGTACATTTCTAAATCATTTTCATCTGGACAACTATTCTTAAAATACAAAATACTTTAATGTATCACCCAAATTTCCAGACAATGCAAAACAGTGAGAATTCCATCCTTCCCAGACACTAAAGAGTCCTTCCTCCAAAGTCTGTTGTTTTAATAATGAAGACATTTAGCTGACAACCAATACTTTGGATAAGACATACATGTTATTACCATTCTAGTAATGTTGATGTCTGTGTCCTTCAGATTTCAAAAATTTCTCCCTTGTAAATCATGCAGTATATACATGCATGTCTGCAAGAGTCTATTTGCAGGAGTCATTTAAAATTTAACAGAGAGTAAATATGATAGCATTACAATACAGTATATTTTCCTTTTATTTTGGTAAAGCAGAACTCTTTCCAGTTCCTAATGCATCAGGTACTAAAAATAAGGTAAAACAGTTTTCTACAATCTTCATGCTGTCTAAATTGCAAAACTTCAAACTGACCCCAAAATTGTGGCAACCAAAATCACTCATGAAAATCTGAGCCACTTTAAACTCATAACAGCAAATGCTTACTAATTTTAACTTTTTTATTCTATTCATTTTTCAGAAAATGAAACGAGATAGAGGGCCTGAATCACCAGTGTTAAGTCTGGTGCGGGTAGCAGGAGAAAACCACTTTTCAGCTGCAGAACAGGAGCTTGTCTGTGCTTGGGAAATGTATGCTCCGGAAGAGAAGGTAAGATAGAGCTATTAGGCCCAGTGATTTGATTTGGTCAGAGAAATATGCTTGTAGGTGGGGTAACAGTTTTGTCACTGTTGTTCACAATCTGGGTGACACTAGGGGCACAATTTCTGCAGTGCCCTCCACTCCTTGGACCAATCCAGATGCATTGTAGAGCAGGGGTGGCCAACCTGAGCCTGAGAAGGAGCCAGAATTTACCAATGTACATTGCCAAAGAGCCACAGTAATATGTCAGCAGCCTGTCCCCCCTCCCCCATTAGCTCTCACCCTCCAGCCCCTCCCTCCGTGGCCCCACCAGTCAGCACCTCCTGCCTGCCACAATCAGCTGTTTCACATGTGCAGGAAGCTCTGTGGGGGAGGGGGAGGAGCAAGGGCATGGCAGGCTTGGGGGAAGGGGCAGAGTGCGGGCAGGGCCTGGGGCAGAGCAGGGGGTTGAGCAGTGAGCACCCCTCCGGCACAATGGAAAGTTCACATCTGTAACTCCAGCCCCAGAGTCAGCGCCTATGCAAGGAGCTGCATATTAACCTCTGAAGCGCCCCTTGCGGCTCCGGAGCCACAGGTTGGCCACCCCTGTTGTAGAGCATGCACAGCTCACAGGGAGCTCTATAATTTTCACACTACCAGTAATGCTGGCATGAAACACCAGCTGCACCTTGCTATTTGTTGATGTGCTATATGAAGCAGCAGCATAGGAGTATTCCATGTATGCAAGATTTTCCACAGAGGAAGATTTCAAGGAAATAAGATTCCTACAATCAAATGCTGAAATTAAACCCTTTTCTCTAAATGGGCTATAACAACTCAGGGAAGGGCAGTGTTCTTAACCCACAAAGTTAGCAGATAGAGATTGTACCCAAACCAAAAGGGCTGCTGTTTGTTGAGGGGGGTGTGGAGGTACTACTGCTTGATGTCGATGTGGTAGAAGTATTCCCTGTGGTGTTCGTTTGCTGTACAGGATGATCTTGTGATCTGAAAAATAAAGTTAAAACTATAAACCACTTTATTGAGGCAATTTAAAAGATTTCTGGAAGGATCCAGAGACAAGTTAGCATGAAATAACCAGAATATAAATTATGACTATTCTCATATATTGTGTCAATACCGTTACTTAAACATGGACAGCAAGTAATCTGGCTTGAGTGATTTATTTAGAACATGCTTTGGGTATTTCTATTTTCTGCCCAACTGGATATTAAACTCATATCCCCAGCCCAGACAAAAACCAGAATCTCAAGATTCTCCAGGACAATCTCTAAAAGGAAAGATTTAAACGCAAATAGGGTTAAAAAGGTGATCGTGCATGTTTTATCATTCCAAAATGATGTTTTCACTGAGATCCCAAACCCCACCCCTCACTGCAGCTGGAACCGTGAGCAGGATTTCTGCCAGTCACTGAAGCAATTAACACAGTACCACAGCCATTATTTCTGATAAGCTTCAGCTGTTTTCTGAACAATAGCAGGTACCAATCCATTTCCCTTCCCATTGTTTTCTGCTCAAACATTGCAAATAAACTGAGAGAAACAAAACCATCCAGACATCTAAATTATCTGACAGTGCAAAGTAAAAGCCTGTCCTACCGAACCATTTCTAGCTGGGACACTGTGGCAATTCTAATCTGAAGGCCAATTGTGGATACAACTATAAACAGTCTACAGCCAATACAAACAAAACTGAGTCATTTCAGGCTGCAAGTGTTGTAACACGTACTGCACACTACTGTCTATTCAGAGTTAGAACTCTTCAGAAAATGGGAGCACAATTATGTAAACCTGGCTACTGATTTATGACCAAGTCTGTTCCCAAACTTGGTCATGGCAGATTTCTCATTTTCAGTGTCAGGATAGCAGTCCTGCACTTGACGGATCAGCTCAGCTTTGGACAGGTCAATCTGTCCTTTGCTGAAATGATCTGGACCAATCCCAAAAATGTGAACACCCCCTCAGCTGCTTCTGGTGCAGTTCGCTGTTGCAGAAGGTAAGGAACATTCCTGGAGCACCGCTTACACACGCCCTAGACAACTGCAATGGAATTGCCCTTCCTTGCACAAAAGGCCTGTAAAAGCAGCCATATGTTTGTATGAATAAACAACATTAAATTGTCTTGGCTAAAGAAAACAGATGATTTGCAATTCGTAGGAAGTGTGTAGGTGGCTAGCAGTTGTGGGAAGGCCTTGAAAAATGGTATGCTTAATTGAACCTACTGGACTTGGAATGTGGCTTAACTGGAAAAACTGGACCTGGAAGGCAACTGATAAAACAGGTGAAAAGTCTTGAAGAAGCCGCCTCAATCATCAGGGGTGGTTCTACGTGGCTTTAACAAAAAAAGGTTTCAGAGTAGCAGCCCTGTTAGTCTGTATCTGCAAAAAGAAAAGGAGTACTTGTGGCACCTTAGAGACTAACACATTTATTTGAGCATAAGCTTTCGTGAGCTACAGCTCTCTTCATCGGATGCTGTAGCTCACGAAAGCTTATGCTCAAATAGATTTGTTAGTCTAAGGTGCCACAAGTACTCCTTTTCTTTTAACAAAAAAAGAAATTCATAAAGCAGTGACTATAGTCACATAGGTTCTGATACATAAAATATAAAAGGGTAAACTCAAAAGGATCATTACTAGTACCTGCTGTCCAGCTGAAGCCAGCCAATGTGGGTTTGAGTGTCCTCAGTCTAATCCTGCAGTAAGTACTTGAACAATGCTTATAACTGCATGTTACTGAATGGGCATATGATTGCTTAGGCATTTAAGGCACATTTGGAGCAGCTGTATAAATGGCATGCAGCCTTTGAATTTAATAAAGGATTTTAAGATTAAACTGGTGTCCTGGTGATGCCTGTATTATCAATAAAAATAATTCCAGTAGGGCTTCTGCTCTACACCTGGAGATTGACTTAAAGGTAAACACAGTTGATGTGTTCATCTTTTGCAGATATTTTTCTTTCAGTTGGGCATGGTTTGAAGTTGCTGAACAGGCTGCCTTCATCCCGGAGAGGTGAAAACTGAAACACCTAAGAAGCTTATAGGGCAACAAATAATGCTGGTGTTCAGCACTCAAGTGCCAGAATTGAGTGCCAAAAGAACAGAAAGTTTTTTTTATTATTAGCAACCTAAACCCATCTAGAAGGGAGGAACATGGCAAGCAATACTCATGAAAAGAGCACTGTGACTGTAGAGGCTCAGCTCCTACAAGGAGTTTTCACTGACTGAAGTCAAGAAGGCGCTGACTGGAAAGTTTTAAGTGCAGTGGTGAAGTTCAGAAGGTGGCACATGACTGCCAAGAGAGGAGGCTGACACTCACACTATCCTGCTATTGCAGCATTTAGGGAACAAAAAACTTCAAGAGTTTGGAGATTTCCACCTATGCTTTTGCAAGGGACCTCAGGACCAGGAGTAAGAATATTGCTTTTTTTTGAGATCTAGTAATTGCACAATAAGATCTAACTGGGAAAGGAGAATATTTATTTGGTTTCTTACAGCTAAAAAAATAGAAGACAGCTTATCAGCAAGGTTACCTGTTTTGTGTTTTGATGACAAGGTGAACAGTGAGTCCATCGTGAATCCCATGCTGGGTCAGAGTATCTTGATCTTTTAAAATTTTTCCAGCAAATATTAATACAAGTTGATCTGTGTGGGACTTGAAACGCTTAGAGATTTCTTCCTTAAACTAGATATTAGAAAGAAAAAGTTAATGTGATTATGTGTAAATCAGTGCATTAACTACTCTATTTTAAAAAACTTTTGAGATTTGGTGAAGGTATTTTGCATGTTTACTATTTTCAAGTTTATACAATATACGCCCCCTTTATTAAATGCTCCCTCAGTTTTTTATTTTTGACAATGACTATGAAGTCAGATCATTCCCATTTGTAGATTCAAAATAATAAACAGTATGTCAATCAACAGTGTTAGAAAGTGATTAACTTTAAATCCTTTCCTGCACCAGCCACATATACAACAAAAGCTTAAAATGTCAAGGAATGAGAAAAAAAAATCTTGGTTATCTTTTTCAATTACAGCTTCTCTCATATAATTTTGTATAGGTGTCTATGTAAGAGGTGTAACTCTTATTAACACCTGTAACAGATATACCTTGCATAATAACAGGTTTCAGAGGAACAGCCGTGTTAGTCTGTATTCGCAAAAAGAAAAGGAGTACTTGTGGCACCTTAGAGACTAACCAATTTATTTGAGCATGAGCTTTCGTGAGCTACAGCTCACTTCATCAGATGTTTACCGTGGAAACTGCAGCAGACTTTATATACACACAGAGAATATGAAACAATACCTCCTCCCACCCCACTGTCCTGCTGGTAATAGCTTATCTAAAGTGATCAACAGGTGGGCCATTTCCAGCACAAATCCAGGTTTTCTCACCCTCCACCCCCCCACACAAATTCACTCTCCTGCTGGTGCTAGCCCATCCAAAGTGACAACTCTTTACATAATCAAGTCGGGCTATTTCCTGCATAGATCCAGGTTTTCTCACATCCCCCCCACCCCCATACACACACAAACTCACTCTCCTGCTGGTAATAGCTCATCTAAACTGACCACTCTCCAAGTTTAAATCCAAGTTAAACCAGAACATCTGGGGGGGGGGGGGGGGTAGGAAAAAACAAGAGGAAACAGGCTACCTTGCATAATGACTTAGCCACTCCCAGTCTCTATTTAAGCCTAAATTAATAGTATCCAATTTGCAAATGAATTCCAATTCAGCAGTTTCTCGCTGGAGTCTGGATTTGAAGTTTTTTTGTTTTAAGATAGCGACCTTCATGTCTGTGATTGCGTGACCAGAGAGATTGAAGTGTTCTCCGACTGGGAGACAGGCCAGTCCTTGCCTACAGACAGCCCCGCAACCTGAAGCAAATACTCACCAACAACCACATACCACACAACAGAACCACTAACCCAGGAATCAGATTTCAGAGGAACAGCCGTGTTAGTCTGTATTCGCAAAAAGAAAACTTATCCTTGCAACAAAGCCCGTTGCCAATTGTGCCCACATATCTATTCAGGGGACACCATCACAGGGCCTAATAACATCAGCCACACTATCAGAGGCTCGTTCACCTGCACATCCACCAATGTGATATATGCCATCATGTGCCAGCAATGCCCCTCTGCCATGTACATTGGTCAAACTGGACAGTCTCTACGTAAAAGAATAAATGGACACAAATCAGATGTCAAGAATTATAACATTCATAAACCAGTCGGAGAACACTTCAATCTCTCTGGTCACGCAATCACAGACATGAAGGTCGCTATCTTAAAACAAAAAAACTTCAAATCCAGACTCCAGCGAGAAACTGCTGAATTGGAATTCATTTGCAAATTGGATACTATTAATTTAGGCTTAAATAGAGACTGGGAGTGGCTAAGTCATTATGCAAGGTAGCCTGTTTCCTCTTGTTTTTTTCCTACCCCCCCCCCCCCAGATGTTCTGGTTTAACTTGGATTTAAACTTGGAGAGTGGTCAGTTTAGATGAGCTATTACCAGCAGGAGAGTGAGTTTGTGTGTGTATGGGGGTGGGGGGGATGTGAGAAAACCTGGATCTATGCAGGAAATAGCCCGACTTGATTATGTAAAGAGTTGTCACTTTGGATGGGCTAGCACCAGCAGGAGAGTGAATTTGTGTGGGGGGTGGAGGGTGAGAAAACCTGGATTTGTGCTGGAAATGGCCCACCTGTTGATCACTTTAGATAAGCTATTACCAGCAGGACAGTGGGGTGGGAGGAGGTATTGTTTCATATTCTCTGTGTGTATATAAAGTCTGCTGCAGTTTCCACGGTAAACATCTGATGAAGTGAGCTGTAGCTCACGAAAGCTCATGCTCAAATAAATTGGTTAGTCTCTAAGGTGCCACAAGTACTCCTTTTCTTTTTGTAACAGATATAAGTATTTGAAAACAGCATTTTCACATTAAGTAAAACCCATTTTTGACAATGTAGTATTAACATAATGTTAGGCTTGTTACAACTTCACAAAAGGAAGCATTTCCAGTGTTCTTATATTATCGCCATGTACTGAAATGGGGTCAAATTCCTGTGGTCAAAGCACATATAACAGAACTATAGCTAAGCTGAGCAAATGCTACCATGGCCATCTAACTCAATTTTCTTGCTCTTATGGGGGTTATACAGCAACACTATTTTGTAATACTTCTGTGTAGTCTATCATTTCACCACTTAACTTCTGTACATGGTACTATGCATTAGCTTTACAGTGCTGGTGTGATATTTACAAAGTTATGGAAAACAGTTGTGACAGATACAGGAATTTCTTGCATATCCTTGGGAGACCTTAAGTTCAGGTATATTTGAGGTCCATTGTATGAAATGCAAAGTTTATATATTATTGTGGGACAGGATTGAATGTAACCTGGGGGAAAGGGACAGGAGGATGTGATGTGATGCCTGGGATTTCAAAAGACTCTATGCCAGACAAGAATGGAGTTTTGCATTAATAAGCGTTAAATGGATTTCCTAGGGAGAGGTTAATGCAAATTCCCCACCTCTGTTTAGAAAAGTCTGGCTTGCTGGGAATATCACAGTGTTGGCTGTGGAGATCAAGCAAGGAGGAGGCACGCCTCAGGGCCTTATTTCACCCCGGGGTGTTCGCTACTTCCCACCACCCAACACAGACGTAATGAGGTTAAGTGGTGTCTGTATAAAATAAGTAAGAACTATTAATTATTCCTCAAGAAAGGCTTTTAATGATTTTCAATGATAACAACAGCATAAACAAAACAAGAAAAGGAAAACCAAAGGCCAACAATGAATAAGAATTAATACAAAAGGCAGATTTTACTGAAGACAAGTGCAAGTACAAGTAATATTGTGGACCATTTGCGAGTTTCTGAACAGTGACTCTACATATGCTGGTACTGGCAGGTCATAATAAAAGCCCCGAAGACAAGCATAGGTAAAACTATTGTTCACCAGCCCTATATTCCTGGTGTTTTTAAAGGCAACATAAAGCTGACGAACGACAGCACTACATGCGTTTGCTAGGACAATGTAAAAGACAAGCAATAACACATGCAAAGCTATTATGCATCAGCCGTCTACTATTGATTTTATACTATGGTATCGATACAACTCTTGGCAAAGAACAGGAGGGAGAGAAACGTAGGTATCTGCCCAAGAGAGGTGACAACTGAAGGGCTTGGAGCCCAGAGTGGGTGTTCTTGGTGGACTACATAGGGGGGAACTACAGGTGCAATTGCCCTGAACTGTGACAGCTGTTGCATATGCTTTTACTCGTCTTAAGTTTCTATTCTTTTCACCAGAAAAAAAATTATAGAACACATTTAAAGAAATCAGGCAAAAGAACGGGAATGACTCAGTGTAACAGATAGTGATATGCAACATTTTCAACATCCAGATCACTAGCTCTAATTAGCAGTGACCAAAGTTTGTTGCATCCTAGGACTATGTTGTGGCTTCAGCCTAGTTATACTGAATATACCTCCACACCACAAAACAAAAAAACATACAACCAATGGCACCAAAGCCATCTTTTGTTGGCAGTCTCAGAAAACAGAATGACAAGGCAAGCTAACTATTTTGCTCTCTGCCCTCTAGCGGTGATCCTTGCAGGCCCTGGTTGCAGCATGCTGGGGCTACATAAGCAAGCGTGGATTGCCACCTGTCTGTGCTTCATCTATTCTGTGGATAGGTGCTATACTGACACACAAAAGTAATAAATGCATTTTATTTTAAAGAGAAAAGGAAGATATTTTGACAGGCTGATGACATATTGTGGAAAAAAAAATCAAACATTTCAATTTATTTCTTGATTTAAGGACTAAGATTGTAAGTTAAATTGCTTGGAAGATTTTAGGCTTTTAAAAATCTTTCAGAAGCTTGCCTTTTTTTTTTTTATTATTGATATGATCAATTTAATTTTTAAAGAAATCATGCTCTAACTGGAGATAGAAGTGAATTCTCATTCCATGCAAGACCCCAAGATATTGATCCAGAAATGAGTTATTCATTTATACTGCAGGAGCACCTACGGACCAACCAAGTCAGGTCCCATTGAGCTAGATACTGTATAAACATAGAAAGTGACAGTCCCTACTCCAAAGAGTTTGCAATCTGACAAAAAAGATAACACAACAGATGGATGAGACAAACAAGAAGGTAGTGTTGTGGCAGTGAAGGCAAGAAAACTCTGTGCCTACACAAAGCTTTATTAAGTCAATAGAGCTCTTCACACATGGAACTCATCTCAGGATGAGGGTCTAAAAGAAATTATGGCTCAGAATTTTCTTTTTAGGGGGCTTTTTAACCTTAACTGACCTTGATGGCTACTTCTTGCTCAAAAGACACATTTTAGATACTGCTATTTACACGTGCTGATTTGTCATAAAAACAGTAGTGACTGGTAAAACACTGTTTAGTGACAGCTTTAAAGCTGAAGAAAAATTATTAAAGTTGCAATAAACGAACATTAGTATTAACTTTAAATTTAATCTTAAATCAAGTCTAATTTGCTATGACCCAATTTCTAGAAGGAACTACTCATTCAAGAGGTCAGGACATAGAACAATTTGTGGGAGGTTATATAACCACACGCTATCCTGTGCCATCAATATACTGGCATCAAAAGCAGCACCACCACTCCCTTCTCTCTGCCCAGACATATCTATGGTTTGC